AGCTCCAAAATGAAAACAAATATTGGCAAATAGTAGTAGTTTATAGGAAATAAATCATGGAATCTAATAGAGCATGTGTGTCAGTAAATATTAAATACTTGTTTATCATGATATGTTGTCACTAAAAATAATTAGAATATGTATTATACATATATATATATATATAACATGTATTAAAGTAAATCATATAAAATTTCTCATCATTTTTTATCAGGTTTACTATTTTGTATACTGGAGTTAAAATTTGAATCCACATAAAACTTTAATGAAAAGTTTTCAATGAATTAGTTTTTATTCCATACTTAGCACATCAAATTTAAATTTAAAAATTCTAAATCTAGCAGAAATTATTGTGTGTAAATACTTTTTTATTTTAAATTAAATACCCTCAAAATTTAAAATTATATTTGGGCATTCATTTTCTAAATTAGGGTCTAGGTCTTTCATATTAGAAATAAGTTTTGAGTATTGATATTCCATTTGTTGGTATTATTAAAAATTTAAACTAGTGATGTTACGTTTGGAACATTAAATTAAAAATGTGTTATTTTCAAAAATTGCCCAAAATTTTTATTAGATCGAAAGTTCTATATGAAAAAAAAAATCATAAAATTTAACAAAATACATTAATTTAACCAGATAAACTTTCAAAATTTGTAATCTAAAATATTTCAGACCGCTAAAAAAAACCCATAGAAGCATGCGATACTATGGTTTAAATATTTATATGTGTTGTCATCATTTTATATTATACTTTATGATATTATATATCCTAGAAATCATAAAAACGACTATATCGTTTAAAAAATAATCCCCCCTTAACTTATGTTTAAACAGATGATGTAATTAGAATGTCGTATACTAGCACCAACTTGCTTATTTTTATGTACTTTTGGTTTTTAAATGATGAGACAATGACAAATAATGTTTTCCTATATAAAAATTATCATATTTTAGCTAGACTTTTTCATAAGAAATCTAGATAATATAAAACATGGTTAAAAAAATTGTCTTCACTGTGCATGCATTTTGTTAAAATTAACTAGGCGTCATGTTGTCATTTCATAGACATAAAACCCAAAACCTGCATAATAATGGATCCGATTAGTAACGTTGTGAATAGTGATGTGTTACAGAATTTTCAATGGTACGAAAGATGGCTGTAAGAAAAACAGTGGTACAAAATATAACAGTACAAAAAGAGATAGTACAAAATGATAATACGTATTTAAAGTCTGATTGGTGACATTGTGATAGTACAAATAGTTGTATTTTAAAATGAAAATATAAATTAGTGAAGTATTCAAAACTAAAATAATATCTAACAATATAACACAACTTTTTTTTTTATAAAATTACTAACACCTTCACTTAGCAAAAAAAATATTACATGTAAATTACGAATTCTTCAAAGACATAATATTTTAAATGTTTTTAAAAATTGATATTTATATATATATATATATATGTAATATAAATTTTCACATATATTAAACTAAATGTTGTTATAGAATTTGTGAATATATTTGATGTTAGCAAATTAATGATATTCCACAATTATCATGAATTCACATTTAAATGATTAATACACATTATAAAAAAACATCAGCTCTAAAAACATTGTCACTTTACTAATGAAACTAACCATTCAAATAAAATTGAATATATATAGCTAATAAATGAGAATTATGTTTTTGTTTTAACAATTTCAGTGATATATTAAATATTTCTTGTTAGTTATAAAAACAGCCACTTTTAATAATAATTTTACCCCCAAAAAAATTCAACTCACACTATAATCTCCAAATCATTTCAAGAACATGAAAAAAAGGAAAATGAAAAAAAGAGACCATGGCGCCTTTGTTGTTTACTCTTTGTACTATCATTCATTTTTGTACAACTACTAAAAAGTAGCATTACAATTGAACCATTGTTTTACCTTTTGTATCATCACTTTTTGGTTGTAATGCTCCTTTTTTTGTAACACACATTTTGTACTATCACAAGTGTAATGTTCATATGATTGATTACAGTATGTGCATTACAATTTGTAACACTCCATTACATTGCTACCAATCAAAGCCAATATCATTTTAAGAATTGTATCGCTTCCAAACTTGTTTGTCTACATGGTATTATTATATATGCAGTTGTATTGTAACCATGTAGACAAAATTTCTAGTCTTTTTTGATAAAGAGACAACCCTCTGTTTGGTGTAAGATGACAGTTTAAGATTAATGAATTCATATGTTGCACACACAAAAAAAAGACAACCATCAACAAACTACATTGCCCATCGATCATGGCCTGTCGAACAAATTCCTACATTGACTGTATAACAAGTCCAGGTAAACTTTTTTGAATAAGAGCCGTCAAGACAATGGAACAGTTACATCCTCTGGAGTCTGGACTCCTAGTCCCCATTCCCCAACTCGGAAAAGATGACAAATAGGCGTTCTTATTGTTTCAGAATAATTAGACCATTTTTTTATAAAAGACAAAAAAACATGTCGTTTAACTGTCAAAATAGATGTATTTGATTTTCTTTACAGAGTTGAGATTTCTTATCATAGCATTGGAGAGTTTATTTAAATCATTCAAAATATAATAGATTTTTATAGAAGAAAAAACACATGTACATTAAAATCATAGCATAATTTTTTTAGATGAAATAATCACAGCATATTTAAACTGGCATAGGTTTAATTTTTGTTTTGTAATTTTCCATACAAAAATGTATTATTAATTTAAAAGACAACCTTTTGTCACTTATCATTGGTCAACCACTTTTTTCTACTCATTATTTTCTTTAAAATTATGTTTTTTATAAATCAAAATAATAAGTGTTTCCCTAAAACGTCCCAATAGTCATCTCAAAGGATGTAATAAGAATGCGAAAACCTCCAAATTGACCCATGTCTTTTTTGATTCAAAATAACAACACCTGTATTTATGTTTCTTAAGCATAATGAACATTTTTTGGGAAGCCCCTTAGCCAAGTGGTTGGCTAAAGGTTTACTAATGGCTTCTATACCAAGAGATCTGGGTTTCAATCCCCAGAAGATGCGATTTCTGCAGGTTATTGGAGGAAGGTTCGCATAAGGAAGGCAAGAGCAGATAAGAAAAATTTCTAGAACGGTGCAAGATAGCTATTCATGGTAGGTTTATATAAGGATGGATCTTGGTAGAATAGTTAATTATCCGTTAATAATTATCCTTGTAATTGTCCTCTTAAATATTATAAAAAAAAAAAGCATAATGAACCTATATGATTGTATTAGTTTACCAAGGACATTTACATCGTGATTAGTAATTAAGTTACACAGTATAAATTGACCAAAAAAATGAGTCATTGGATTTAGAGAAAATAAAGCAAGAGAGTATCTCGGGGGGAAAAAGGGTGATCTTGCAAGGTTGTGATAGTCACTACGTTTTACATGAAGACAAAAATTTGTTGATGGGTGAATCCGATTAGTGTACAAAGTAAAGATAGTAAATTCATCAAGTTATTGATCATCAGAATATAAAATTGTCTAGTATAAACGGCGAACATAAATTGATGTTAGAGAGAGAAAGAAGGCAACCCATGACTTCCGCATTAGTTGGATTCAATTAAAGATTTAATTAGAGGCCAAAACTTTGAAGCTAATCATTGTATTTGGATGATAATATTAATAATTATGGACTCACTAATTATAAGCATTTGTGGTGATTATCTGTTATACTATATGTGGTTGATAAATAACCTTTTATTCTCGAATTATATATAATGTTATCATCAATGTCGTTTCAATAATTTTTTCTTGGTATCACATCGTTCCAATAATTAGATCCACACAACTGTTAAACTCTAATTAACAAATTTCATTAATCTACGTTTTATATGGTCCGGGACGTATGTACGAGTGTTATATATAACATGAAAGAGTCATCTATAAAATTTTAACAAAAACAAAAAAAAAGAAAGTGTCATCTATAAATGATTATAGTTGGTAAAATTATCGTTTATGGGATGAAAATTAACAATACAAGAGTCACAACCTGTGGTCCAAACTCCAAAGTCTTATTCCTAGGTTTCGCCTTAAAAATAAACAGTAAACACCAAGGACAACTAAATAGACGAGGATAATAAAATTAAACACAGAAGTTATTTGTTTATTGGAAAAGAAAAGTTAATGATGCTTGAAGATTAAGGTTCTTATAAGAAATATAGATACCTTAATACGGGAAACCAAGTTAAAGAAAAAGAATAACCAAAATTGGAATATATAAAATTATATTGTTGGTTATTACTTTGAATAAACTACGATAGAATGTCCATAAGTTTTTCTTTATCAATATGAGATTAAACAGTAAACCATATCTCTTTATTTCCTACGAGAAAATAATTACATAAATGAACAAAATGACCAGACTGGTCGTTTACTTCTTATGAGTTTTGATAGTATTAAAATTACCAGAGTATAACCAAAAGAAAAATAGCGTTAATATCCAATAACAACATCATTCGTAATTTAAATTTGAAACCTTTACATATATAGCTAACAGCTAAATGAGTTAGGGCTGAGCTGTCAAGTTTGTATTGATTATTGATAACAAAAAGCGAACGTAGAATGGGAGCCACGAACAAGTCGCAAGATAAGAAAAAATAAAGGTCAATCACTTATTTATGAAAGAAAAAAACACTAACATTCTATTGTTTAACTAAAAGTGTCTGGAAGACTCTTTATTTCTAGTTTTACATATGAACAAACTAAGCTTGGCAGAGCGTAGATCTGAGTCAGACGATAATGTTTTTTTCGGACATTAATAAAGTTAGGTTCCCTAGTTTTTCTAATATTATCTCCACATGATCACACCAATACACACAAACACTCCTTAATTACCGTATATATATATATATATATATATATATATATATATATATATATATATAAAACATTTATTCTCCAACCATTAACACAAAATTAAGGACAAACCCTCAACCAAACAAACAAAAATGAACATGGAAGATCAGTTTCATAAAATGGAAACTAGCTTCATGCACGAGAAGCTCGTGTCTTCTGGATTCTACGGGATCTTGAGTTCTTCGACGCCACCGCAACTTCTTGGTGTTCCAATAATCTTGGAAGGTATGAAATCGTCTCTTCCTCCTTCGTCCCAAAGCTACTTTGCGTCTCCTCATGAGCTCACTTCTTCTATTCAACAATCTCCGGTAGCTTCTGTTCCTTGGAACTTTTTACAATCTTTTCCTCAATCTCAACGTCCTGATCATCATCATCCTTCTAAAACCCCAAACCTTACCTTATTCCTTAAAGAACCAAAGCTTCTAGAAACTTCCCAATCCAACAGTAACATGATCCCTTACCATAACTATATCCCAAACTCCCTCCACCAATCAAATCAAAACATAAACGATTGGGTAGAGATCAATAAAACCCTAACCAACTATCCTTCAAAAGGGTTTGGAAACTATTGGCTAAGCACCACCAAGACTCAGCCTATGAAGCTTGCGGCAGGGACAAAAACAAGAAAAGTTGTTCAGACGACGACACCGACGAAGCTGTATAGAGGAGTGAGACAAAGACACTGGGGCAAATGGGTCGCAGAGATTAGGCTTCCAAGGAACAGAACTCGTGTTTGGCTTGGCACTTTTGAAACCGCTGAGCAAGCCGCAATGGCTTATGATACCGCAGCTTACATCCTACGCGGCGAATACGCACACCTCAACTTTCCTGACCTTAAACACCAGCTCAAATCAGGTTCTTTGCGAAGTATGATTGCCTCGCTTTTGGAGTCCAAGATTCAACAAATCTCTTCCCAAGTAATAAGTTCGACTAACTCTCCTTCTCCTCCTCCTCCCAAAGTGGTAACATCGGAGCCCAAGAGAGCAATGAAGTTTGAAGGGGAGATGAAGATAGAGTCTGGAGAAATAGTGATGATGAAGAAACAGAAACTCCAAAAGGAAGTGATTGAAGGAGATGGTGTACAATTGAGTAGAATGCCTTCTTTGGATATGGATCTAATTTGGGATGCTCTCTCACTCCCTCATTCTTCTTGACTATGATCAAATTAATGTCAGAAGCTTAATTACTTGTTTATCTTTTTAAATTTTACATTAAAGAAAGAAAATTCATATTTTGATGTCAAGATTCAAGAATGGTTCGCATTTTAGGGGTTGTAACACTTTGTATTTCTTCTTACAAAACAACCACATAATCAAGTGGTTCCCCTTATTTTTGTTTGCTATTTAATTGTTCTTTTCACTTTGCGGTTAGCAGTAACCATACAATAGACAAAAGTGTTTGTTTTTAATGAGGAAAAAACTATAATTATAGTCAGTTGTACCAACTCCAACTTCAAAATCTATGTTAGAATATTTCCTACATTATAAACTAAACTAGTAAAGCTCAAAGGTCAAGTATGTATAAATTAGTATAGTAGGGCATAGAAGAGTTAAGGGTAGGTATGAGCTTCAGAACTTTTAAGTATATTTGATGCTTTTTCCTCCTAAGGTGTTAGTATAGAAATAGAAAGACAAATACTAATATGGAAAGAGAAACTAAACCACCACAATTATTCAATGAAAATGACAACCGTTTTGGAGTACAATGTGTTTGACAAAACAAAAACAAAAACCCAAAATGAGAGTTTTCACAGAACATTGTACAAACTACAAAGTATTTGCCCATGATTTATATACTCGTGTCGACGGTGTCGTGTTATGTGAGTAAAATACATACCTTGAAGTCTAAGCACTATGCAAGTCTAATGTCATAGACATTGCTTTTGCCTGCAAAAATGATACATACAAACATCATCAAGATAAAGCTAAACAAGCAAGAGCATATTTTTGCAAAACAAAGATAAGCTGAGTAGCTCACCATTGTGGATGAAGGGCTTGAAGAATCTTGAGGTCCAGATCCTCTAACCTCCCAAAACCGGCTTGTTCTATCTCCAAAAAGCGATTTGCTCTGTTCTCTTGAAGAGAAACTAAGCTTCTCTCTTCCCTTTTGTACAGCTCTTAACCGTCCTCTCAGCAAACCAACTTCACTCTCTATCTTCAGTCTTTCACAATCAACAGCTGACATCGAGTTTCTGCGCATATTCGGAGACATGTTCCTCTGTCCTTGTGGCCATGCAGGTGGGAGTCCATATCTTGCATCTGAAACACTCTGTGATCTGTCTAGTTTGAGATCTGTCACTACATGGATATCATGCACATAGGCATCAACTTCCTTAGACTCAGAGATGTTGCTAGATCTTGATAATGGTTCTTGAAACGAAGTGTCCTCTTCACTTCTTGATTGTTCACTCTCTGGACTGTTTTGCTCTACACCATCCACCTTCATTTCCTCATCACTCTCAACCCCCACTGGCTTTAAAGAACCGGTGTTATCATAATCTCCGAGAAGCATTGATTTGTTTCCAATCGCAAGAACACTACTATCCATGTCATCAAATCTTGGCTCAGTCTCAAGAAACATTTGCCTGTAGGTGTCAACTTCCTTCTCCAGAAAATGTTTCTCTTTCTCCCTTCTCAGCAAAATCTCCTTGAGAATGACCATCTCTTCCGCGTCGAAAGCAGATTTCTCTTCAACCATCCGCTGATACTGCCTAGCTTCCATCTCTATCGACGCTTTCTCCTCTTGTAACCGCAGTATCATACTCAAAGCCTCGTCAGCAGCAGAAGCAGCAGCGTTTCTCTCCTTCTCCAGCTCAAGCGCTAACGCAGCACGAGCAGCTCTTTCTTCACCAAGAACTTGTTCAAGATTCGGCTTCCGTGTTAGATCCACAGGAGAACTGCATGTTCCTTCTCCCGCCCAAGAAAACGTCCTCTCCGGTTGCTTGTTCTCAGCTTTAGCTTCACTCAATGAAATGCTTTTCCTCAACGGAACGTCCTCTACAATGTCATAACATGTAGCAAAAAAAACAAAAGTAAAGAACTTTAACACCATGAAACAAAAACATTTGCAAAAAACTAACCTTTAAAGTTGACAAGAAGATGATCATTCTCCTCAACATCATTGCCATATCCATGGGAATGGTTCTTGAGACCATAAGACGACCTGTGGAAGCTAAGCCGCTTGCTCTTAATCTTGAAACTTCCTTTCTTTAAACTCTGCGAGGTTAGAAGATCGAATCCCGAAGGAGTACTAGAGACCTCACGCTCTCCTCTTCTCTTCTTTCCAACACAGACGTCACTATTGGCTTCACTATACAGAACTGAATCAAAAGGTGTTCTGTTTTTCACGGATCTTTGCACGGAAGAGACCTTTTTCAAAGGAAGGTTGATTAAACTCTCTTGGAAACACTTGTTCTTGTGCGGGTCACTGAAGAGGCCATCACAAGGGCATGGAAGGGTCAAACCAAATAAACCGAGGAGCTTCGAGGTTAGGTAAACGAGAGACGACGCGCAAAGCAGCGTGAAAGCTACAGAGAGATCAAGAAACGCAGATACTAGACCTGTGAATGTCCAAGATCTTACCTCCTGGCAACGCATTTTCCGAAAAATCTACACCTGCAAGAAGACAAATTCTACAAAAGTTACTGAAAATTCAGAAGTTTTATCTACGAAAAACTCAATAATTTAGAAAACTGGTTATAGAACCATTGTCATTTGAATCAGATATGGATGATACAAGATCTACCAAATTTGTTTAAAATACAAAAATGCAAAATTGAACACTTAAATCTCTTATAATATATATTGAACTCAATACAAAATTCTCACTAATTGTTCGACCTGTGTTTCACCGTATCCAATCTAGACTAATATAGTAAGCTAAAATTGAATCAACATTACAAGATTTTAAGCATAAGAACATAGAAATCCTGAAGCAATAAATGGAAATATTTATAACGATCCAACTAAAACCCAGTAGTCGCTTCAAATGAACACCAAATTAATCGATTATAGTGTGATTTCCTTGTCATTTTCCAGGGAAATAGCGATAACAATCAGAATCAAACGAGAGACTCACCGAACTTATAATGGTTCCCACAGAGAAACTCTTTGCGATTTGATCAAATTCCGAAACGAGTGGTGAATTAGAAAAACTCCCACAGAGAAAAGAAGTTGAACAAATCCAGGGGAAAGCACAAACGTAAACTCTTCCTATTCCTCTTCCTCTGCCGTTTTTTCTTCGTTTGTTCAAAACTCAAAATCAAAATCTTTCGTTTTTAATTTAATTTTCAAACTTCAGTTGCAATTTGCAAATCGGCGTAAGAGACTGAGTTAAGTCGATACGCCGCCGTTTCGTCGCCGACCCTTTTTCTTGAGATCCGAGTTTTTAAAAAGATTTTGTTACACACGTATACAAACTGTATATTACGCAAGAGTGTGTCAAGTCAACTATATAGTAAAAGGCATTTAAGATTGGAAATAAAACCATAGCATGGGGAGAAGTTATGATGATTTTCTAAGAAAATGCACCAAATAATACACCAATATATACATATAGAGGCTAAGACAGAGAGGTTTTGATAACAAAAGTTTTTGAGTTAAATAAAATACAACAACAAACAAAAGCAAACAAGTTAAAAATCTGATCTCTCTCTCACTCTACCATCATCATCCAATGCTACTACTAGGAATAACCCAACCAGCTTCATGACCCACAACCACACTATCCCCGTTTCCAAACACACCACGATGCCTCTTCTTCATCAACGCTCCTGAAACCGGGCTTCCCACGGTGCTCGAAGTCAGAGAGCTCTCCGCTGAACAGTTGTTCTTGTGCTCTATCGCCACCGCGAGCTCTGACAAGCACGGGACTGTCATTTTCATCGTTGTGTCGAATGGGCTTGTTGTTGTTGTTGCTGTTCCGTTGGAGACCTTTATGGCTAGCTCTGATAGCTCTTCTCTAGCCGCTTCTAGCCCGGCAAACGCAACAGCTTGCTCCTCTATCGCCTTGCATGCTTTCTCGAGTATCGACTGCAGGTACTTCCCTTGTGTCTCGATCCTTAGCTGGAGTCGCCGTTGCACCTGCGCATACTAATGGAAACCACATCATATGTGGAAGGAATCAAGGAACCATGGTTCAATTAAGCTTTGAAGAAGTTTAGACCAAAGTCTCTGAGTTTTGGTGAATTCGCCATAAGAAAACTAACCTCTAATTGCTCATGGAGTCTTCTTTGGACTTCCATCTGAGCACGCAGAGCTTCGGTGACCTGGTAACTCCTGGCTCAAGAAAACAAATAAACAACAAGGAGTGTTCATACAATGGAGACTCATTGACACTAGTTGAAAATTTGGCATAACAACCGTACTCGTTCTGTTCTTGTGCAGCTAATCTTAATGATGATGTTGACGATGAACCTGTGTCCTGACTCTCCGCAACACAAGAAACTGCAGAAGATGATAAGTTCATAGAGATATCAATGCATGAAAAAGCCATATTCCTGTGTGTTTCTCATAGGATTCAAATAGGCAAATGGAGGTTTAAGTGAATACCATCTTTAGAGTTATCAGTTGATTCTTTGCAAGATTGCCTCCCTAGACGGAATTTCTAGTACAGAGCCAAAAAAAAGCCACAATAACACAGTCAAAAGCAGTGAACTTTGTTTGTTTTAAAGTATTCAAGAAACGAAATAAAGTAAGCTAATGAACAATAAGAGAATATTGTAAAGTATAATCAACACCTGAAGATGAGACTTTAGGTGGTAGAGAGTGAGACCCTTCACTCCCATCGTTCTCATTATCGTTTTGGGCGTTGCCTCTGTAATCAAAAACAAACAGAGAAAGTCATAAATGCAGAATCTTAAAACCACAGGCAAATGAATCAGATCTTAAGGCCAAGAACAACCAAACTTATCAAGGAGGCCTGTGAAGCACAATAAATCAAGTAAGCACTTAAATTTCTTCAGCTATAACTTGTTCAAAGTGACATCAACCCAGAAAAATCCTCCAATTTCGAGATCTTACTTGAGAAATCTCTTATCTAAATCTGTAATTGATAAACCTATACTGACTAAAACTCATTATTCATAAACGAAATTCATGTAATTTAGTGTATACAAACCCTAAAAATACTTTCAGCGACAAAGCAATGAACTCCGGCGACGGGAAAATCAGTAAACTCAGGCACAGTGAAACCACATTTCACCGGAAGATCCAGAAATTTTCAGCTAGATATGGACATATATATGTACTCACTGTCGGGTCCGCCGAGCTGAGTGACGGCGTCAATGAATCTCTCATGGAGCTCCGAAGTCCAGCGAAGGCGGGGCTTTGGGTCAGTGGTTAAGACTAAGCAGGCGTCGACGGGAAGGTTAGTTCCGTCAGAGTACTCTCCCATGCTGCCATCTAGCGGAAGCGACGAACGAATCGACGAGTACATTCTCTTCTTTCCCAGCTTTACCCCACTAATTGTTTATTTTCTCGGCTATTTTCCCGAGAATGTGAAGGAAAATGTCGGGATATTGCAGTGAAGAAGACGGGTGTATTTGGTTCCGGGCCGGGTCGGGTCGGGTCGAAGCATGGATTTTTTTTGTAAGACAGCGAAGAGACGAGTTGATAGCTTTGGACGTATGTACATTTCCAGATTATTTTTTATTTTGTGTCCTTCTGCTTTTTAATTTTATTTTTATAACGTCGATATCTCTACTTTATTAATTTACATAATCACGACTTGAATTATTTAAAATGTCTTTTCGTAATCTCTTGTTTATGGCTATAGTCTATAGATATAACTTTGGGAAGATGACTAATTCTTTGTTTAGTGAAAATATGACTATTACCAGTTGATTAGCAAAGATCTTGATTTTGCATTCAAGAATGACGATGCTTTGTATGTGTAAGACAAGTGAGAAGACACGAGTAATCACCAGTAATCTTTACATGAACAAGAACCTCCTTCGAAATGATGAAACCTATACGCATCCCTCACTATGATTTCTCGATTCGATACCTTGGAAACAAACTTAATCCAGTCATGACAATCGTTGCAAACTCGTAGGTTCTTCATCACATTTACAGGCATTGTTCCAGGCAAGCTAAGAAGTCCAAACGAAATCGCTAGCTTCTCGCTGTGAATGAAAATCATCGGATCTTTCTGCTCTTGCTGCGCTTCATTCAGGAGGCTGAAACAGTCTTGCACATACCCGATCTCGGACACTCGTCTGGTAAGATCTTGAAAGTGTTCATGTATTTCATCCGACAACGGATGATTCTGGTCACCAACGTAGAAAGAGTGAATTGAGTTCTTAACCTCAATCCAGCTTTGTCCAGGTTCTTTCTTCACTCCTTTTTCTTTCATCTTTTGTCTTGTTCGATCTCTAGCTTCCCACTTCCTGCACACTGCGTAGAGATTTGACAGAAGCACATATGTTGCTGAGTCTTCAGGCTCTAACTCCACGAGATGATGCGCAGCAAACTCTCCTATCTCCAAGTTCTTGTGCACCACACAAGCACTCAAAAGCGTTCTCCAGACTAAGGCATCTGGCTCTACAGGCAACTCCTGGATAAACTCTCTCGCACGGCTCAAAAGACCAGCTCGTGTTAACATATCCACTACACAGACATAGTGTTCCGGCTTAGGAGCTAATCCATATCTCGTGTTCATGGATTCAAAGTATTCAATCCCTTTCTCCACAAGTCCTATGTGGCTACATGCTGATAAAACTCCCACTAGCGTCACATGATTAGGCCTTACATTAGAATGTATCATCTCGTCGAAAAGATCTAATGCTTCAGAACCAAACCCGTGTTTAGAATAAGCATTGATTATCGCATTCCAAGAAACTTCATTCTTCATGGAGAGTTCAAAGAACTGCTTCTTTGCATCAGATATGATTCCACACTTGGCGTACATAGAGATCAAAGCATTACAAACCTCGGTTTCCGAATCATATCCGGTTTTGGTGATCACTGCATGGACTTGCTTCCCTTGTTTCATGTTTGCTGTCTCAGAAGCAGCTTTCACAGCAGACCCAAACGTGAAGTTATTACTCTCAATTCCTTCTCTGTTCATTCGAGCAAAGACACGAAGTGCTTCCTCATTGTTTCCACTCTGCTGAAATCCAGATACCAGAGCGTTCCATGCAATATTATCTCCAGCTTCAGTTTGTTCAAACGCTAAATAAGCTTCCTCTACTTTCCCACATCTAGAATAAAGTGTAACAATTGCATTTTGTAGTGGCAGGTCAGATGAGAAACCAGATACACAAGATTGAGTATGAATCTGCTCTCCTTCCTTTAGCGACTGAAGACCAGCACATGCACTGATTGCATTTGTCAATCCAACTTCATCAGACCGGATCCCGAGATCCAACATCTCCCTAAAAGTCGCCAAAGCTTTGTCGTTGAAGTTGTACTGCGTGTAACCTGCAATCATTGTCGTCCAAGACACAACATCTTTCCCAGCAAACCTCACAAGAATATCTCTGGCGGTATCTAACTTCCCTAGCTTTGAGTACATATCTATGAGCACGCTACAAACATAGGCATTATGCTGAAAGCTAGTTTTCACTATCTGACAATGGATTTGTTCTCCAAGCTCAAGATCTCCAAGACGAATGCAAGTTTTCAAAATACTCGGGTATGTATACTGATTAGGAACAATCTCCTCCATCTGCATCTGTCGAAAGATCCTAAAAGAGTTTCTTAAATCATCTAACAGCCCATAAGCAACTAGCATAACATTCCACTTAACTACATTTTCAACCTCAGTCTCAAGAAAATAATCAAGAGCCGTTTCAATATCAGAGCATTTCGCATACAGGTTAAGAAGCGCACCTTCAATCTTATCGTTCGAAGCAAAGCCTAGCTTAGTTGTGTATCCATGTAGCTGTTGTCCCGTAAAGAGAGTTCCATCAGCTGAACATGCAGCCACAAGGCTTGCGAGAGTATTAGCGTCTGGTTCAAGTCCATCAAGCTGCATCCTTTTGAACAATCCCATAGCTTTCTCACCGTAACCGGACTGAGAAAGCCCGTTGATGAGCGTGTTGTAAGTAACCGCGTCTCTATGCGACATGTTGCTGAAGATGTGCTCCGCTGATATCAAACTCCCCAAATGGAAATACAAGGAAACAAGCGCATTGCAGACGTAAGTGTCAGAGGAAAATCCTAACTTCAGAACAAGACTATGAAGTTGCTCTCCGATGTCAAGAGACTCTATCTTCTTGCACGCACTTAAAACACTCGAGAACGCGTAAGGTGTTGGCATGACACGTGAGACATACATCTCGCAGAACAGTCTAATGGCGTCTTCTTCACATCCGTTTTTCGAAAGTCCTGATATCATCGCAACCCAAGAGCTGTGATCCTTCATGCCTAACCCATCGAAAACCTTCCTAGCTAGATCCACAAACCCGTTTCTAGAGTACAGATCAATCAGAGGATTACACACGACTGTTCTACTCCCAAGACCTTGATATATCATCCTTGCATGAATCTGCTCAACAACATCAAAACCAACATTACCACTACGACATGCTTCCAAAATCCCTGTGAACGTGCCTTCGTCAAGAGGAACATTTTCATTAACCATTCTCGAAACGAGATCTAACGCTTTGCTAGTCAAATTTCTCAAAGTTAGCTCCTTTATCATCTTATTCCAAGTAGAAAACGTTCTCTCAGGCATTTCGTCGAACAGTTTGAAAGCACTATCTAAGTCTCCTTTGAACAGATAGAAATCAAGAAGCTTTTCAGAGAGGCAACCATTGTTATTATCAACAAAACCCAACTTCAAAATCTGGGCGTGTAGCTTTCTTCCTTCATGTAAAGACCCGTTTTTCTTCAAACATCCCTCTATAAGCCATGTAAAAGTCTGGTGATTTGGTCGAATTCCACGGCTCTCAATCACATTCATAGAATCAATTCCTTTTCTAATCGTTTCAATCTCTTGGAAGGACTCATCGTCGGATAGTGAAACAGAGACAGCAGCACAACTAGTTCGGAAACCTCTTCTTCTGACCTCACAGAGTGTCTACAAAAGAAGAGCGAAATTACAAGAATCAGAGCATAGTAAAAAAATGGCGTTTCAAAGGGAAGATTTTGGAGAACAAAATTCAAAAGGAAGGAAACATTACACGAAGGACATTTCTGGACTTGAGCTTATTACGAGGAGCAGTGTGAAGGAAGATATATGTGGACGAGACAGGCCGGAGAAACATGGGTTCCTGTTAGGCTCGAGGTAACATTAGAATGCAGCAAAGAAGCATCTGCAAGTCTGCAACGGACGGATGAATTTGGGATATGGTAAGATGGAACAAGCAAGTTTTAGCAGCAACCATGGATGAATTGAATTGAGCAAAGAGATTTGATGACATCAGCATTCAGCAAAATGAAGTCTTTTAACATTCCAAAATTATTTGAAGTTTTCTGGAGTATAAAGGAACTCTTACAAAGTTATCGCAAGTTATAATAGAGTTGAGGGAGAAGAATGGGAAGCAGCAACGGCGGGGAAGGGATGAGAAGTGACGAAGAGAAGATAAAAAAAAAAAAAAAAAAAAAAAAAAAAAAAAAAAAAAAAAAAACTTTGGACTTTTCCTAAACTAAAAAATTATCGTCGACATTTTTTGAACTCACTTTTCCACTGAGAGGGTTTGATTTCAAATTTTGTGGTCTCTTATCGGGTCAACGAATTCAGATCCGGTTTAATCTAATCGTTGTAAAATAAACGCGATTTGTTGGTTTTACTAACCGGAAAAATCAGCAGAAATTTGTAACTGAAATTCTCCATAATTTCTTAAATCACTTAAAATCTTTAAATCCCTTAGTTGTTTCTAAAATTCATATAAATTCAAATCACTGTTCCAATATGCCCTAGTTAGTTTCTGATAAGCAAGAAAAAGTTACTAAACAGACTCTTAAATACTAAAGTAGTTAGATATTTGAAGATATTTATAAATAATCATTTGTATTCATTTCGTTTTTAGTTGATTAATTGTTTATATTTTATTAATTTTTTGGGAAAAACTTATGATTTTCAAGGTTATTAATTATTGTTAAAAATTTGGTATAGTAGCTGGATATTCTCAAATGCGGGTAATATTTTTCTTATTGTAGATAATGACACTTTGGATATTTGTCATTCACTTTTACCTAGATAAAACAAAAAACAATCTAAGATGAACACGCTATTATAAGAAGGTTCTAAATCCGGCGATCCTCAAAGTTTTCGATCTTCAATTGCAGTATAAACCAAAATATTATCGTCGAAATTTTTTTAAACACACTTTTCCATTGAGAGGGTTTGATCTATCCAGTACCATCTAATCGTAGTAAAATAAACATTATTTTTTTTCGTTTAACTAAACGGAAAGATCAGCAGTTTAATTTGATAGGTCGAATTATATAGAGTCTAATAGTTTGTGAATAAAATTAAGATAATGAAGATAAATATTTACCTCTAAATCTAGAGATATAATAAACACAAAATTTACAAGAAAAATAACAATTAAATAGGAAATTGAAAGAATATTATGATTACACATAATATAGCTAATTTTCAAGCTATCACAGTTAACTTTTGTGTCCAAATTAGGGTTATGACCACACTGAGGATAACCGCTTCGCTATCTAGTTTCAGAGCACAAAGCATGCACACTCGATGACCTTATCTACTTTGTCAAGAATGGTAAATGGTCAACAAATGATCCCTACAAAGAGAGCATTCAATCTCTTATCAAGAAGTGGGGAGTAGAGGGTATTTCACCTCTAAAGCTAGACCTCGTCAAGGGTATTGTTGAGGGTCAAGGGTATTGTTGAGGGTTTAAATGACATGCACATGAAGATGGTCCTTCATAGGAACTTACAGCCTGCATCTGTCAACATTGTAGGGTACTCAAACTTAGCTTAAAAGATTTTATTGCCAAAGTAAGCAATTTTGGAATGAGCCGTTGCCTAGATGAGTCAACCTCCAAATACATTTACACATGTTAGTTGGGTAAATTGTTGTGGTAATTGTCTATTGTTGAAACTTGTGGTGATTGTCTATTGTTGAAACTCGTGTATCAAAACGTGCATAGACAGGTTTTGGTGATTTGGTAGAGGTTTGGCGATTGTATTTTGCAAACTTAATGACTTGAAATTGCGTGCAATACACATTTGGAAATTGTGTAAGGTTAATTAAACTTGTGTATCAAAATGTGCAATAGACAGGTTTAGGTAATTTGGTAGTGGTTTGATGATTGCAATTGCAGATTCACTTTGCATGCTCCAGAACAATTGTGGAAGAAGAAGAAGTACGAGGAGACTTATGTTTGACGTAAATTGTAACGAAACGGAAAGCTAATCACCAAGTTATTGAATCTATGTTTGACGTAGATTGAATATATTATTTCAAACGATTATTTTTTCATTATTGAATATATTATTGCAAATAATCGTTTGAAACGAAACGCTAATCACTAATCTTTTCATCTAATCACTAATCTAGTCAAACGAAACGCTAGTGATCCGTAATACAATTTTTCCTCAAGAATTAATGTCATTTCTTGATATCTAATTAATTAATAAGAAAGTTTAATGTTTGTTTATTTGCAAGGTTTGTTGCGAGTAGAGTCCTCAAGCACATATTATTTCGGGATGTGTCTAAGAAGATGACGTTTCTACGGTGTGGTTCAACTGTTGGTAACCTATCACTAACATACACATTAAGGTTTCGTATAGTAAGGCTTATTTTTAGTCGTAGAAGTTTTGGTTGTTTGTAAGAAAGTCTATTAGGTTAATATGAATTGGCGGCCAAGTTTATACTTTTAGATCTTAACAGAATAGCTATTGTTGTTACTAATTAGTATACTATAATTTATTTTACCAGAGCAAAAATTTAGTTCGTTTTTGTTTTTTAATAACCCATTTTCGTTTTAGTTCGTTTTAAGATACGACGAATATACTCTCATTTACTTGTTTCTTTTTTCTTGTTTTATTTTTTTTCAAACTTACTTACTCTCATTAAACTCTCCGATAATCAAGACGAAAATACTAATGGATTTTTTTTTTACTGAACTTAAATAAAGCAGTTAGATATTTTAAGATATTCATAAGCATTTTATTCTGAACTTGTTTTTAGTGACAGTAAAGAGTCATTGATATCTCTTTCCGTGTTTTTTTCTTGTTAATTGATTACATTTTTTTTTTTGAAAAAAATTTGTGATTTTTCAAGGTTATTAAATATTGTTAAATTGGACACTTCGTTCAAAAAGAAGATCATTTATGTCATTCATTCTCTAAATCGAGAGAAAACAAAAAACAATATTAAGATGAAAAAAGTGACGCAGGTCTCAACCCAGCAGTCACAGCTGCCGGAGGTGAAGTTGGAGCGGCCAGTGACACGACTCGCCACTATGAGAAGGTTCTTAGAAATTCCGAATCCGGCGATCCTCAAAGTATTCGTCATAAGCAGTTTTGCAACGCTCATCTCAGGATTTGCCTTAGCCATTGAATGGTTCTCTCACGGCAAGAACCATACCGAATTCGGCTGGATCATTTACTACGCATTGTTCTTGATCTTTCTTCCACTTCTCATCTGGATCCTCATGGCCATCTCTTCTTCTAGCCGCTGCTCAAGTCAGATTGCAGACTCAGTCGCAGCTAAAGAACCACCGTGTACTGAAGTTTCCGAGGGTAACCGTACTGAAGAGGAAGAAACGAAGAGAAACAGTTGCCGGAGTTTAGCGGTCGTGGTTGAATCTGATGAAAGGAAGAACAAAGACGAGAAGACCACGCCGAGGATTAAACGCGCCGTTTCGTTCCCATCGCATGGCAAAGTAAGATCATGTCGCACTCGTTAATTAGCAACATGATATAATTAGATGTGTTTAGTAATCGGATCGGTTTCGTGAATCTAATAATATTGTTTGTGAAATGTTGTTGTTCTTAACGTTCTATCTTTTTCAAAATTTCCATTGTCGAATAAAATATTTGGTTACAGTAATCCCCGATTATCAGAAGGTTAGTTTTGAATTTTTTTTTTTTTTTTTTTTAAATGAAAAGTAGCATCGTTGGACCCTTTGAGTCTTTGACCTACACACGTAAAGTCCTGATAATGGGAAAATGATAGTTTAGCAAAATTGCTAAATAATGTTTTAACCAAAATGGATACAATAACCGATTCTTAAAAACAAATATAAAAATCTAACCAGTTGATCAAATAAAAAATGTTATACTACAAAGAAAAGTACAACTGTACCTATCAAGCCACTTAAATATCAAAGTATCTGTACAACGTTTACCACATACATAGCCAAAAGTCGGAGAGCTACCATCGTTTCGAACAATTTCAACTTCTTCATCATTTATCTTAATGATATGGTGTGGCTTCATATAGATATCGTTTCCCAACAAACATCGAACATGAAGATTGTCCTTAGAAAAACTACAAGTATAGAACCATGTTCTTTTGTCTATTTCTGACTCACATTTTTGGCAATTTCTTGTACCTTCTTTGCCGTAACATAGAGCGAGAGGATGCCGATCGTGTTTGTATCGTGCCACACAAGGCAGAGTAGCGCATTTAAGTCCTACAACGAAGTTACATGTCCTACATTCTAGGAGATAACGTGAACACTTGCTAGATTTACAGCCCATGCATATACCTCTGGTCTTACTGAAGAAGAGAGGGTGATCAAGTTCATGGTAATTTGCATGGGTGAAAGGATTTGAAAGAGAAGCGCACCTGACATCTAGTTGAAATCCACATCCTTTTTCGCCGCATTTGTACAGAAAACCACAATTTAATTGGTCACAACCGTCGCATGCAAACATGCCTTTGACATAAGCCTCAAACTCGGGCTTAAGAGGGAAAGGGTGGAGAGTGAGTTGATGTTTGTGTAGTGGATGATGTTTTCTGCGAGGAAGGCTTGCACATGCTTCGTGGAGAACGAAATCACACTGCATACAACCATAGAAACTCTCCGAAGCTATTAATTCAAGACAGCATGCTTGACAAAACTTGTTTTCATGGTCGCAAGAATTTGAATTCCCTTGAAGCCTTAGATGATGATCATGACTAAAGTGTTGTATTGTCTCTTCATCAATCATCACAAATGGTCTGATATCTTTGTCCTCATCGAACTCTTCTTTAACTCCTTCAAGATCTTTTCCGCCCCATACGACTTTGCTAGTTGCACCGGGTAAGCCATGAACATGTTCCATGGTGTTGTCAAGAGGGTAGCTAGAAAGTGGTGGATCATATCGCTGGCAAAGGATGTGAGGTTGAGACATAACTGACCGACGGCAAGTGGGCTCTAAACTAGCAAAATATGGCGGTGATTCCATTGCTTACTTTTGAAGGAAAACAGAAAGCAAGTGTTAAAGACTTAAAGTTATTATCATTTCAGTTTTGAAATCAAAGCTTTGGGAGGCTCAACCTTTTGTAGACCAAAATATATTGTAAGTCTTTCTTTTTTCAAATTTCCTTGACAAACTTGTTCCTGTCTTTCTTTTTGTCAACGTTCAAATGTAGTTTAAGACCAAAATATTGCTTCCTTTTTCTTCCATTTTCTATTATTGTTCGGTGACCCAGCTTTTTCATGCTAGATTATTTCTTTTGCATAGAGTTATCAAATGCGGCCGGTACATGAACATCTTTTTGTAATTTGCCGCACTCTTGTGGTCCAGTGATAATGGAAAGCCTTGATGAAGGGTGAAACTCACAGATCCGGGTTCGATCCTCCCTGAAAACAAAAATCATATTTGTGTGGGAAGTCTGTCAGTTAGACATAGGCCCAATTGGTTTATCTGGTAATCAGAAATGCAGGCGGCCTGATTATCCTCTGACATTAGTCGGAAGGCACTCCAAATTCGGGATAGACAATGTGGTAGTCCAAAGGATGAATCCACTTTATAGCATCTCGGTGTGTTCCTACCGGGCTAACCGAAAGCCGATAGGGTCTATCCAAAAAAAAAAAAAAAAAAAAAAAAAACTACTCAGTTATTATTTCAAGTTTGGATATCCTTAAACAAATTTTATTTCTCGGTAATGCTTGATCTGAATTTGAATTTTAGGACCGAATATGTATCGATAGAAAAAACCTTTTTATTATTATTTCTATTTGTTTTTTGGTAGTTACAATATCTTTTTCTTTAAGATCCGATCTAGAAAAAGTTTTGAAATACGACGAGAACATGACAAAGTTAACTTTCTCTGTTTTTCATAAACTGATTTAGAATTTGATTTTTTGAATACATTTTTCATTCTTTTTTTTGAATAGAGAATATTATAACATTGCTTGTAGTCTTTCTTAATTCTATTTAACAACCTAGCTGGCTAGCTCCACTGTTTAAGACCATCGAATTGTTTTTTGTTTTCAAATAATCAAAGACCGACGTATTCATGCGTGGAATATTCTCTTTTGGCCCAGTAGTTGACCAATGATTCATTAAAAAAGATGGGACTAAATTTAGATTAATGCACACAAACTTTCAAGAGATTAACAGCATGGTGCTCGTAGAATCGTTTATCGTGGTCTGTCTGTTAATAATAAAATTGTCCATCGTAAGTGTGGTGCATTTAGAACCATGCATTTGTAGAAGTTGGAGAGAAGTCATAGCATTTGACATATTAGGAGTACACTTTACAGAAAGCTTTCCAGAATATTAACATAATATTATAGAAATCAATATTGATTTATAAAAAAACTAGAAAGCTGAAAAATGTTAGTGTGAAATGGTTCAGGTTGACTTGGTCCGGTTTAATGGGTTTTAGAGTGGGTTTGACTTTGTGACAACAAAAAAAAAGAGTGGGTTTGACCGGAACTGACATCCAATCATTGCTGGTAGCTAGTACAATATTAGAATAGTTATGACATTTGTATATATATGTTGCAAGAGTTGGCTTTTCAATATAAATATTGGTCTTCAACAGAAACTTTGTAATAATTGAAATGTATACATCAAACCTACTACACACTTATCTTATTATTAGAGCACGTACAAAGGTAAGCCTCTATAGATTTCTTTATTTTTTTTTATTTTTTTTTATTTTTATTTTTGGAAAAAGTAAAAAAAAAAAAAAAAAAATCAAAACCCAGTCGGGTTGTGACACGTGGAGAGCTCTGTCAGAGAGACAGTCTTCAAAACTCTTTCGGAAGAGATATCTCTTGCCTAGGGTCTCGCCACATAGATAAATCTTTTTATTTTTTCTTTTCTTTTTGGCTAAAAAAACCCTCATAATCTCTCAGTTGCACTTGCTCTTATTGTCTAAGAGCAAAGGCATTACACAACCTTGACTTGGATCTCTTTAAAAATAAAAGAAAAAGAATTTCGATTTTTTTTTTTGTGATTTTTAGAAAAAAAAACAAAAAAAAAAAGACGATGAATTAGGTAGTGACACATGGCCAGCTTGTCCTCAGGATCGTCTTCAAAAGCTCTCTGGGAACAGACGATTCTGTACAAAAACTCTGCCATGTCATTATTTCTCTTTTTTTTTCTAAAGAATTGTGCCCAGTGCGATGCCTTTGCTCTAAGTTTGGACTGAACCACGTTAGATAACTAAAAGTAATTAATCTCCAAGATTTTCGTTTTGTCGAATGCTTTATTTTTCATCAACATAATGAAGCCGAACAAAATTTAACTACCAATCGAGTTAGGAAGAACTAGTCTTTCATCACTAAATTTATTTTATAGTTGGATTCTGAGTTAATCATCTTCTACGAGAACCAATAATTAGCTATGTAGAGTATAAATGACACTATTTTCACTAAAGAATATTGTTTATATATATATACACATGTATGTAGATAAACATCAAGCATGTGTATATTAGTATATAAACATATATTCGAGAGCTGTTGTGAATACAAAATATCAGGTTCATCACCAAAGAAAAGAAGAGAGAAAAGGCACACATCTAGAGAAATGAAAGAGAATGAATGCGGCGAGAAAACGCGCGTTTTGGTGGTTGGCGGTACGGGGTCGTTAGGGAGGAGGATCGTAACGGCATGTTTGGCTGAGGGACACGAGACTTACGTTCTGCAGCGGCCGGAGATCGGAGTGGACATCGAGAAGGTGCAGCTCCTTTACTCTTTCAAAAGACTCGGTGCACATCTCATCGAAGCCTCATTCTCCGACCACCAGAGCCTTGTCTCCGCCGTGAAGCAAGTCGACGTTGTTGTCTCCGCCATGTCGGGTGTCCATTTCCGCAGCCACAACATCCTCGTTCAGCTTAAGCTCGTCGACGCCATCAAAGAGGCCGGTAACATCAAGGTAATATATAAATTCATGTTGCTTCGACAATTATACCAACATAAATTAATAGTATCAGGATAAGATTAGCATTTGTCTGCATGACGTGTACATCAGCATATGTTGACAAAAAATACATGAGCATCTTTGAAAAATAAGTTATATATCCTCTACATTTCGTTAATGATTGCGATTGAATTGACTCTAACTCTATATCTAGACATTAAATAAATCCTTTTCGTAGAAATTACTTTACCGAAAAAAATTATATCTTAGAAAAGATCCGTTCAACTAGTATATATAGATTTGTAAAATAATTTTGTAAAATATTTAATACATTATTGTTCAAAGACTGTAAATTTCTCTTTTTAAAAGTGATAAAAAAAAAACATGTTTCTATGAAAGGAATATGGATAGATACATTTTTTTACTTTGACAATTTCTAGATCTATCGAAGACAAATATATTTACCGTTTAATCTCTATTCAGTTCCTTACGTACATAAGGAAGTAGGTAATATCAAGAAAGAAGTTAAACCTATGTGGTTGTATGTTAGCTAATGTGAACTATTTATAAATTAAGTATTAACAAGTCTAGAAAATTTTCAGCGTTTTTTACCATCTGAGTTCGGAATGGACCCACCGCGTATGGGACATGCGCTTCCGCCGGGAAGAGAAACGTTTGATCAAAAGATGGAAGTACGAAATGCGATTGAGGCCGCCGGAATCCCCCATACATACGTCGTCGGCGCTTGTTTTGCCGGATACTTTGTAGGAAATTTATCTCAAATGTTAACTTTGGTCCCTCCAAAGAAAAATGTAAAAATTTATGGGGGCGGAAATGTTAAAGGTGAGAACAACTCTTATGGAAGACTATTTATGAACTATCGACTCACATTCCAACCAAAATATGTTTTTAACCATTCTTGTTCCCAACGTTTATTACAGTGGTATTCGCAGATGAAGATGACATCGCAAAATATACAGCAAAGACGCTTAACGATCCTCGAACGGTGGATAAAACTGTGTATATTAGACCTACCGACAACATTCTCACACAAATGGAACTAGTTCAAATGTGGGAGAAACTAGCCGGAAAAGAATTGGAGAAGACCAATGTTTCTGCGGATGACTTTCTTGCCGACCTTGAAGGTTTGTCTCTCGACCATTCATTGCATCTAATGACATATAGCATTGGATTCAAAATTTTATACCCATTTATCTCTAGGTTTAAACTTTAAACTTTAAACCAAGATTTCAGAAATGATTTAAAGCCGATAAAAAACATAAATGCGAAAATATATAGCATCCGAAGGGAACAAAAAGAGAAAAGATATTAATAGAGCATCCAATTTATTTGTTATAAAATGTGAAAATGTTTATAATGTATTGCAGATGAGAGTAAGGGTATACCACATCAAGCGGGATTAGGACACTTTTATCACGTATTCTACGAAGGTTGTCTCACAGATCATGAAGTCGAAGACGACGAAGAAGTTTCTAAACTCTACCCTGAGGTGAAGTACACTCGCATGGATGAATATTTGAAAATATTCGTCTAATTTGGTCGACTCACAATATATACGTATAAAACACATCAAGGTTACTAAGTTTCCTTCTTATTTTCATGTTGTTTTTTCAAACTTTAAATGCTTTTTGTTATGTAAGAACAGTATGTAATAATATCATCAACATGTTTTGATAGCATGGAATCTGAAACGCGTACATGAAAGCATGGAAGAAAAATGTTGAAATGAATACACGTTAGAAGCATCTATAAGACAACATCAAGATCAAAATAAAGGTCATATAGTAAAAAAATAAGTTAAATAACAATATTTGATCACCATCTTTATTCTCATTTTACTTGACTCCATCAGACAAAACCGCCTCGAGTGCCACAATAAAATGTTACCAAACTCAACTTTCACAAAACCAGTTTCATTCAATTGATCAAATTAGTCACTAACAATATCCCATGTATATGACTCATCAGAGTAATGCTCATTTAATCCATGTACGATGACTATGAATATGACTCAGTGACTCACTAAGTTATCATTGCATGAATGGCATCATTGCTTTTCTGTTCTTTAATTACAAAACAGTAGGCTGCTATATTAATAAGGGGATGTAGCTCAAATGGTAGAGCGCTCGCTTTGCATGCGAGAGGCACGGGGTTCGATCCCCCGCATCTCCAAATATTTTTGTCATATTACTCTCTTTTTCACATGACTATTTACGAAAAAACGACGTCGTAGTTCGTAAATAAACAAGAACTAAAGGGCTTGAAGTTTGGAAACTTCAAGACGTTTCTCGAATACAAACGAGAACTAAAGGGCTTTCTCCACAAATACACAAGAGATATTTCTGGAAGAGATTAAAAATAAAATAAAACGCAATTATCTTCCCGCCACGCCATTTGTGGTAAATAATCGGAAGCTTTTTGCGATTTTTATCCTCTCTCTCATGGCTTCTTCTTCTCTACCACTCTCTCTCCCATTTCCTCTCCGATCTCGTAGTAGTAACACTCGAGCTCTACCTTTCAAATATTCCCCTCTCTTTCGTTCTCTTCCTACTTCAATCGTTTGCTTCTCCACTCAAAACCCCTCCGGCTACGACCGGGAAGAGCAGAGATGGATTCGCGAGGAGCAAAGATGGATTCGGGAGGAACAGCGTTGGATTCGCGAGCGTGAAGCTCTTCTACGAGAAATCTCAGATCTCCAGCTTCAAATCCAAACCCTAGAGTCTCGAAATTCGCAGCAGGGGACTTCTGCTCCCGATACGATTTCGAATATCGCTGCTCTGCTTCAGGTTTTGAAAGAGAAGAATCGGATTTCAGAGAGTGGATCGAGCTTAAAGCCGATGGTATTGGAGAATACGAGAGAAATCGTAGAGGAAGTGGAAGTTGAAGAGGAAGAGGAGGTAGAGAAACGAGTAATTGCTGAAGAGAAGTTTAGGGTAATTTCGGAGCCAGTGAAGAAGAGGAGGACATTGAAGATGGGAAGTGAAGGCGAAGAGGTTCAAGCTATGCAGGTCTGCTAGCAAAATCAAAATTCTTCTGTCAGTTTTAGCTCAAAGGCGAGTAAATACGTCAATTTGGTTGCTGTGTTCTATCATCACTGGAAAGAAACTGAAATTGATTAAATTGTAGAAGATATATATTCAAAGATTAGGCTGATGATTTGAAATGGACTACATCATTTTTTTCTAAAAAGTAGGATGCGATGATTTGAAAGTCTAGAATTTGTCCTTTTTCTCGTTTAGGTATCGTCAAATTAGCTGCTTGTTGATTGAAATCAATCAAATTGCAACAAGTTTGGTATTTGCTATTAGTTGAAAGTGTTTGGAGAATGTTCTCTGTTTGTGATGATTTCTGTTCACCATGTGATAGGAAGCTCTGCTGAAATTAGGATTCTATTCGGGTGAGGAGGACATGGAGTTTTCCAGCTTCTCAAGTGGGACAGCAAGAGCTGTGAAGACCTGGCAAGTATGTAGTTGAATATAGCTGACCTTTTGATTTCTTGTGTGCTTATGCGGTTTTGTTGATGAAAGATTTGACATGGTTCATGTTTTGCTTTGAAAGGCATCGCTTGACCTCCGTGAGGATGGGATAATGACACCAGAGCTCCTTCAGAGGTTGTTCATGGATCAAATAACGGAGGAAGACATAAAAACAGATAAGGATGAAGCAAGTACAACGAAGCAAGAGGTAAAAACTGAAACGAACGTCACTTAGATTAGTGCCATTATGCCATTATGTATTATGTAAAAGCTTGTGTATTGATAAAGAGTTATTCTTTCTGCTGAACCATTCTTTTCATCTCACTTGATCAAGGAAGCTAGTAACGGAGCGGTAAAGACACAAGTCTCTGAGAAGAAGCAGTCAATCGTAAAAGATCAAAGTAACAGAGAAGGTGAGGCTTCTCAACACCGGGTTTTCCTTCTCGGAGAAAACCGATGGGAAGATCCTTCCAGGCTCAACAAAACGGTAGACACAAGTAAATCAACAGGTGCCAAACCCAAGTGCGTCACTTGTCGAGGAGAGGGTCGATTGTTATGCCTAGGTAAAATCTCTTCTCTTCACCCTTGTTAAGTGAACAACATCGTTTCTTTGAACGTTAAGAAGGAAGGCTAGAATCTTTACTAGCAAAATGAAAACTTGATGTGGATTTTTGTTGATGTAGAGTGTGATGGAACCGGAGAACCAAACATTGAGCCACAGGTGAGAAATTCAAAACAAGCCAAGCTTTGGTTATTGTGTTACTGTATGTGTATATTCCAAATAGCCTGAAACCTGAGAATGCTCTTCTTCAATGTTGTAGTTTATGGAGTGGGTTGGTGAAGATACCAAGTGTGCGTACTGTGAAGGTCTTGGCTATATAGTTTGTGATGTCTGCGACGGCAAATAAACATATATGTTTATTATGAATACTAATGTACAACTCTTCTGTATATCAGTTTGAAGTTTAATCATCTCTTATCTTGTAATCTTTGCATTACTTTTGTTTTAATAAGAGAGAGGCCTAGTTTTGCAGTGGATTATCATCTAATAACCAAATGTATATCTAATTTTGAAAAATCCCTCAAAAATAGAGGCAACGGTCAGAGAGAACATAGAACAACTATACTAACTAACTGCTACCAGGTTTCTCCGGCGAGTGTTTGTGCATGAGTTCAACTTCAAAAACGCAGAACATGTTGTTGTTCACGTAATAAAAGAATATCCAAAATAAGTAAAGATAACAAACGTATTAATTTGACCAATTAATTTAGGAAACATAATACATCTTCTTTGACTAAGAATTATTGAATTCTTTCAATACCTATATTGATTTAGAAACTTCATAATTATTTAAATTATCTTCTATAATATGATAATGGTTTTGGTTATAAATAGATTCAACATGGACTCGTGAAATACATCAAAATCAATCAGAAGTGAAAGAAAAAACAAACAAAAAAAAAAGCAAAAGATGAAGCTCATTGCTGTTTTTATTGTATTCAGTTTGTTGTTTGCAGCTCAATTTTTAAACGTAAGAAAAAATAATCATAAACTCGTTTTAATTCTTTTGATTTATAAATTTATTACAAAATAATTTTTTTTTATATTTGCATATCTATTTTTCTTACAGGCTGAGGAAGTAGAAAGTCCATCTGATGCACCTCCTCGCCATGAGGTATATTTTTTTATATAAAAATTCAATTATTATAAATATATATACTAATAGAACTTCAACGTTATTGTTAAAAAAAAATATATATCTTCATATGTGTATATGTAAATCTTAATGTATCTAATTAATATGACCAACAAACTTATGTGTATCATCCCAAATATTACAGAACGGAGCAGAAGGTTCACTGAAACCAGGAGGTACATTGTTCAAAAACTTACTTATTCTCTAGTTTATATAATCTTTCTTTTTTGACGGCATCTAGTTTATATAATCGATCAATGGATCGAGCAAGCTTTCATCACTAACTTTGTAATTTATTCGATCGCATTCTATGTTTTTGTGCAGAATGCCCGCAAGCATGTGCTGTCCGATGTTCGGCGACATCTCACAAGAAACCATGTTTGTTTTACTGCAACTATTGTTGTAAAGTATGTTTATGTGTACCGTCGGGAACATATGGACACAAAGAAGAATGTTCATGCTACAACAACTGGAAAACTAAAGAAGGTGGACCAAAATGTCCTTGATAACAAAAAGATCGATTTTTGTTTTCTTTTTTTTGATAAGCTCTATGTAATTTGGACATGGTCATTGTTATACAGAATAAAATATGAACTCTTATTTCATTGCAAGACTAATTTATGGAACAAATAAATTCAAGGAAATTTGGCTCCAATTAGTCAAAACAACTTACAGTACAAAGAAAGTAAAACTAATATATGGTTTCCTCATGACTCATATTTCAAGTTGATGTACTTGTGAACCATAACTGTATAAGAAATTTTATAACTAAACTAGAAGTAAATTTAACCTCTTGTTTTTTTCTCTTCATCACATGATATATTACTATATCTATATGTGTTTTGAAACAACTAAACAAACCAAAATCTAAATATATTATATATCCCTATAAATATAAATTATAAAGAAATATTCAACATCTTTGTAAACTTATTACAGTAAGTTATTGATAAGACTATTAACTTCCATAATCAATATTGACCAAAGTCCACAAATCTTTGATGAACTTGCAATTATCACATGGTTTTCCCGTTGACCTTGAATGGTAACAGCCTAACAGGAACAACTTATGTATGTAGCTCGACTCCTTGCTTTGGGAATGAAATAATACTATAAACTATATTGGTAAAAATGTTGTAAAGTCTGAAGATCGAAACCTTTTGCGGCAGCATAGCTTTCTGAGTGATCATTAGGTAAAGAGTTCGAGCATTTCTCATCTCATATCTTTGTTTATCTTCATTACCAGGCATCTGTTTAAGTGACAGCACATAGTTCCAAACACAAACCTTTAATAAAGTCAATACAACAGAGAAAAAAAACTATTCTCCTTGCTCCACAAAGTTTTTAACAAACAAAGAACTCTGCTAACCTAAGCTTTTACACAGATCATCTCTTCTCAGACTCCTAAACCATAAAAAGGTGAGTGATAAAAGACATGGACCGAGCCGGTTTTGCTACTTGTTACTTGTTAGTGCCAATCAACAATGTCTCCGAACGTGGTCGAACCAACTCCTTCCCACACTTCACTATGTCCAACTTCTTCTGTGTCAACACCTTCCATGTCACGGTCCCACCATCCTGACCCATTTCCATCTGTTGGAAAGGTCATAAGTATTTGACCACAAAAGAGTTTCGTTTCATATAACAAAGTGAAGGAAACTTGTGTCACTCACAGTGGTTGTATGTGGGTTTCTGCTTCTTACTACTGTCGTTGCTTTCTCTTTCTCTTTCTCTTTTCCTTTGTATTGGGTTTGATACTTTCGAGTTGTCTCCAAAGACTATAACAGGCCTTCCCGTTCTGTTCATGCTCTCCATACCTACCAATTCCAATGCATACTCTCATCAATCAACTATTGAGATCTCAAAGGTCATTAAACATGTGATTAACTATGAAAAGTAGAAGTAATTAAACAAGAAATGACAAACCTTCAAAAGGATCTTTTCTTTTCTTTGATGTTTTATCATCCTTCACAATGATATCTTCTTCATTGTCAGTAAAGCATGAAGTCAAAAGTTCGATTTCTTCAGCAGTGGCTTGATCCAACGGCTCAAGACTCGCCTTACCAATACTATCCCTACTACTCACTTCTTCACTTGCCTGAGTCTCACTTGGCTTAAACTGCTGAAGCATTGTCTTTTCAAGACCACCATCGTTAGTTTTCGTTTCCTCCCTCGCCTTTTTCTCTATCTCAAACCCCTGAGAGAGTTGACTCAGATCTTTAGAGCTAACCAATGAAGTAAAAGGTCTTGGCCCTTCCTGTTCAGAAACCAAAGACCAAATCTTGTGACAATTTGCAATTGTATCTCCCAAAAACTATACTACTACAAGAAGCATTAATCTCTGCATACTCAAAACCTGAAAGTATTTATCAAACGATTCATATCTAACTATATCATTTCACAATCAAAGAAGAGAAGTTGAAATGCAAAGTTTCAAGAATAACTCTGGTGGCTAGAAAGATTAGTAGTTCGATAAACAGAAATCACAAATTTCACATCATTCTCTTAGCATTGTCAATTTAAAGGTCTCAACTTTGTCTCCAAATTGATTTGCTTTTCCATTAAATTCAAGGAATGGCCTTGATTTATTACCTCTATGTTCCTGGGTTTAAAAAGCACTGATTTGTTGAGCTTGCTATCGAGAAACTCCGAAAATGAAGCGCACTTCTCTGCTTTCTTCGACGGATCTTCCGAAGAGTCTTCCACACTGTTGAAGATCACACACAAATTTCAGTTTTACTAAAATCTAAAAACCTAAGAGATTAGCAAACAGATGAGATTTACAAATCAGGAGAGAGATTTGGGATTTGGGACGCTTACGGAATCGAGGTGCGATTCAGGAAAGAAGGGACGATTGATCGCTGGCCAAAAACCCTAATTTTAGGAATCGGTTTCTTCATGTTTCTACTCTTAACTCTGTTTACTCGCTTTGCCTCTCGACGATGATGATGTCTTTTTCACTTTTTGGTTTTTTTTTTTTATAATTTAGTTTCTCGAAATAAAATTTTGCCGCCAACCAGAGAAATATTTTTGACAGAAGTTTTGCCGCCAACCAGAGAATATTGACAGAAATAAAATTTTGCCGCCAACCAGAGAAATATTTGAAAGGAAACTCTTTTGTTCTTTGTTTGTTAAAAACTTTGTGGAGCTAGCTCAAGGAGAATAGTTTTTTTTTCTCTGTTGTATGGACTTTTTAAAGGTTTGTGCTTGGAACTATATGATGTCCAAAAAAAGAAGAGAAAATTGGCAAAATACACAGCTTTGGGAGAGTCTTTGTCCCAATACACAATTTGGAGAGATTTTTGTCCACTACACATTTTGCCAACTTATAATCCCTTTTTACCCTTAAAATTGATTAAAGTAATTAACCCTTTAATTGAGATATTTTTAATTAAACATAAAAGTGAAAATATTTCCTTTCTTCCCCGACATCTCTCCTTCTCTTCTTCTTCCCGACATTTCTTTTCTTCTGCGACATTCTTCTTCTCCGCTCTTCTCCGTCACATAATCATCTCTTTTCTCTCCTCTCTTCTCCGTCACATAATCGCCTCTTCGTTGCCGTCTGTTCTTCTCCTTCAAACTACTCCTCTGTGTTTTCCTCTTCTCCGCCAAATAATTTCGAAAAGATGACGGCTAAGAAGATGGGAATGGAGAAGAAGTTGCCACAATTGCGTCGTGGGAGAAGGTTGGAGAAGAAAAAGGAAACAAAATATTCAAAAAAATATTTGTTAATATTCTCTAAGATTTCCGGCAGAAGACGATTTCTACATTTGGTAGAAGACTGATTTCTAGAAGAACACGACCTCTACCAACATGGTAGAAAAGTGGTTTTTAGTAGAAACTGAACTCTACGGATGGTAAGAGATAATGTGTGTAACAGAATACGAAATCTACGCCTGCGTAGAAGGCTGTGTTTCTCGTAGACAACAAATTCTAGAACATGTAGAAAACTTTGTTTTTGGTAGAACATATCTTCTACCAAATTTACAAAATCGCAGAACATAGAGTAACAGGTAGAAGTGATATGCTACTAATAGTAGAGGTATATATAGATTATAGAACTCGTGTTCTACAAGTGGAAGATGTGTGTATAAATGGTAGATATCGAATTCTATCTCCAGTAGATGTAATAAAAACGTGTAGGATACATATTCTACTTTGAATTTCAGAGCTGGTAGAAGAAAACTTCAATATATTTTTTAAAAATCATATTTGTTGAAAAAAAATTGTGAAAAATTTAACAAGTCTGAAGATCATTTATCTGATTTTTAGAAATATTTTGGGTTTCTACATAAACTATTTCATATTTTTAAATATATAAAGGGTATTAATGGCAAAAATAGGTAAAAATATGAAAATGTGTATATGGACAAACCTTCCCTCTTTTCTGTGTATAATCACAAATCTTCCAAAAAAGAACAGATGCTAAGTAACGAAGATAAACAAAGATATGGGATGAGAAAATGCTCGAAGTCTTTTTCTCATGATCAATCAGAAAGCTCTGCCTGGTAATAATTTTATAAAAGATGTTGGATTTTTCAAAACTCATGATTACATGGAAGCAATTATTATATATCACATAAGTTCCTTCAACAGAATTGGAATACAAATTCTTGAATGAGTCTTATAAATGAAACAATAAATCCCCAAAATAAAAGATCAAGAAGACTGAAGCAACCTTATACAAGTTTGTTGGCTTTCCCAAGTTACAATGTATATAATGTGAATCGGTTATCTCTGTCCACAAAAGATTGAACAAACGTATACAACACTTGAATCTGAAGCAATGGTCATTTTAAGAAGGAAAGGGATGATGCAATGCTTTTCGCAAACTCTGCAAATAGGTCTAGACATACCATTGTTGGGAACTAGTTCACCTCCAACGTATTCGTTCCCCGGCTTTAAGTAATACATGTCTCCAAGTACACACTCGATGTGAAGAGTGACCTCACAATCATCACAACCATAAAACCATACAGTAGGATCTGTCTTTCCCTCACAAACATCACACCACAAGTGACCGTTGGAGTTTTCAGCGCCATGATGCAACGATAAAACATGATCATCGCATTTGTGTTTCAATCTTCTTGGTAAAGTGGCACACTCCATGCCTAAAGCAAACTCACAAACAATACAGCTCAACACATACTTTGAATCTTTACCATGCTCCACAAGTCTTGTGTTCTGTAGAGGTGCGGTATAAAGGATGTGGATGCAATTCATGATGAAAAGGCTCAAAGATGGAACCGCATCGCACATCTAATAAAATAGACGTACCGCCAGAGTCAGGATAAGACGTGTACCTGAAGCCATCAAAATATTGAAGGCAATATTCACACTTGGAATAACCACCATAACAACTCTTACCATCAGAACCCTCTATAGTAAGCTTCTAGCTGTGCAAGATATTTCGTTTCTTTCGAGGAAGACTAGCACATACTGTATGAAGGAAGAACTTGCATTGCACACACTTGAAGAAAGGATCAAAATTGATGGGAAGGATGCAAGCGTCGCACCGCATCTTTTCATAAGCGGTCACGTTATCATCATCATCACCAAGTCGAAGAATATGCTGATCATGACTGAAATGAATGATTTCTTTTTCATTTATTACCTTGTAGTTGCTGATCATGACTGAAATGAATGATTTCTTTTTCATGACTGATCATGCTGATCCTCTCATCAATTCTGATCATGGTCGAGACAAGCTTGAGAGGATGTCTGGAGTGACAAGGCTGGTTGATGATCTCTGGGAAGTCAATGCATTCCTCATGTGCCCAAAAGTCGCAGCTTGTACAGTAATAGCCGAAGCCATCTTCGTTACCGCATCCGTCGCAACTACTTGGTGGGGGTTGTGCCTGAAAATTCATAATAAGTGTAGACTTCTTCCAGATCTTGGTAATCTAGTTCATGATTGCAGGGAAGGCTCACTCTATGCTTTTGTTGGTCCATCTGACCGGAAGAACCGAAATATTGAAATATCAAATGGCAAAAGTTTCTAGTTTCTTCTTTTACCGACAAAACCAGCTCATCGTGTGTGATGATTCGTCACATATTACAACATACCTAATTAAAAAAAAAAAAAAGACTAATTATCTAATTAATTATAAAATCCAATCCACCTGTAGATACATACATTAATTACTTTCGTATTTAAGTCTAGCTGAATAGTGAATACCTTTTCTTCTCTTCGGGTATTTTATCGTTTGACTAGCACAAAGTAAGCTATTTTGGTTTGCAAAACTTTACTTAGTTCTTTTGTTTATGTGCTAGATTTCTCTTTGGTTTGGATTACAGTTTTGTTTTTGTATTAGTTTTGGGAATCATCACTTGTGCAAAAAATGAACAATTTTTAAATTGGAATAGGGTATCCCAAAACAATGAATTAACACTAAGAAAATGATACCAAGCTAGTTCACCTACCTTCTGTGATTTGTTAACAATCGATGAGTTTTAGGGTCTGTTTGTTTGTGTATCTGATGCATTTGGATGCAATTTCCAAATGCTAGCATCTAGATGCATTTTCAGATGCAGTATTTAGATGTTGTTTGTTTTCAAAATAGCTTTTGCATTTAGAAATTGCATTTGGATGTAATGTTGTTCTTCTGTGAATTTGTTAAAAATTCTAACAAAATCTATCATATGAAAATCCGGAATTTACAATATTGATAGAAAAAATACTACTCCCTCCGTTTTTTTAAGTTAAATTTTCTAGAATTTTCACACATATTAAGGAAAATTAATTTTCAATCATTGATGTATAGATTTTTGCAATAAAACAACTTTTTATAATTTTCAACCAATAAAAAACCAAATACAATAAATGTTTCTGAAAACTGAAAAAAATGCATCAAAAAGCTAGAAAATTCATCTTAAAAAAACGGAGGGAGTATTTTACTATTTTGGTGAAAACTGGTTTTGGCAAAAAATATATTGTACAGTTTTAACGATTTTGGTAAAAAAACACAGTTTTAATGGAAAAAAACGTGATTTTGCAACACATTGGATGATTAGGAAAAAAAGAACCTTTTGTAAATATTGCTCATAGCTACAGATCATAACAGAATGGCACAGAAGCTCAAAGCAAACTTGGATTAATCACAATGTAAACCATGAAAGCTGTACTCACAAGTTTATATAAAATGTCCAAAAACAATGGACCTACAAGTGCCAAAAAGAAAGAACATCCAGATGAACATTGGTACTGATGGAGAGGAAAATCTATATCCGTCGCCTGATTCCACCCTTCCTTTGCCCTGCATCCCTTTTTCATCAAGCCGAGTATGTACAAAAATGTCAAATGGTTTAACTTTTATTTAACTTATACCTATGAAGATCACAGTGGTGTTATGTATATATACCTTAAACTTGCAGGGGAAATGCAGAGACTCGGCTGACGAACAATGTAGATTTGGTCACCGAAGCTGTCGTCCTTAAACACATCCTGATTCCTATGCCATGTCCACAAGGCGTGCGTTGAATTCATGACCTGTATCAACAACACATTTGAGTGCTAAGCTCTCATCGTGTAAAGAAGAGTCTTTGTTTCTTATACCTCAAGGATTCCATGGCCGAAGCTGCTCTCTCTGAAGGCACTCCAATCTGGTTGTCTGTCCCAGCAAAACTTGCCTTTGGCAGGGCCAGATGTGAAATTTAGAGGGCATGATCCTCCAATCTCGGGGACGTTGTCTCTCGGGGAAGGACACTTATCGGGATCATCTGCAAAGTCCACATCAACTTTCTCTATGTTTCCACCATCTCCAATTGTTATGTAAACAGGCCCACACGGGTCTAGTCTGTAGTTGTATATACGGTTTATCCTCTCGTATGCATGTACCTTTCAGTAACAAAACATTGACAAGATATCAAAGAATATCAACTCTCTGTTGCAACTAAGAAGATTTGAGACCTTACATGTCCTGCAAACACCATGTCGACACGGTGTTGGTAAAGAAGCTCTTCCATTTCCTGCCTCATGCATTCAAACTCCTGGTAATGCGAGGAGTAGCTGTTGTACCAAGGCGGATGCATTGTTGCAACCAGCCAAGGTGTCACTGTGCGATCAACTTTAGACAAGTCTTCCTTTAGCCATGCATACTGCGCTCCTAGAATAAAATAACACACATAATTAGAGTACAAAGCATACATGTGCTAAGCTGAATATCAAAGTAAGCGGAGAGCAAGAATACAATGGATTTTACCAGTGTGATTGTAATCAACATATGCACCCAACATAACAAAATGCACTCCTCCGGCATCATAGGAATAGTAGAAGTTGCTGTTGGAGCCACTCTCGCTTGAAGGAACAGCAAACCTTTCAGTATATGACTTAAATGTGACCCCAGAAGCTTGTGGCTCAATCTCATGGTTCCCTTCGATGACCATCGTTGGGACTTTGGAAGTCAGTGGCTCCATGAACCTGCACACAAGTAAAAAATATTTACAACCACAACTTGACTTATTGAGTCAGAGATAGTAAAAGTGTTAAACCTTCCCCAGGCATCCCAGCGAGGTTGATACGTCTCCCTAATAGGTGCGTCTGGAAACGAACAAGAGAAGCAAGAAGCTCCTTTGCCACCAGTTGTACGGTACTGGTTTGCATACGTTAAGTCCCCAACAATCACAACCAGTGAAGGATCGTTATCCATCAAATGGTCAATGGTGGTTGTTGTGTTACTAGTAAGTCCCAAATCCCCAACAAAGCCGATTCTATGAGGATACGAGTCTTTGCTTGGCAGTGGCAAAGTCTCAAAAGATATTTCCTCGCTCATTGCAGGAACAGAGCTATCTCCGCACTTGTAATAGTACTTTGTTGCTGGCTCAAGACCTACAATACATTTATAAGTCAATGTTTTTCATACACATAAACATTAAGAAACTCTAAATGAGTGATCTTTTGTGGTTTCTCTCATTGTTACCGTCGATGAGGACATGGTGTATGATGCCTGAAGTGTAATTGAGAAGGCCATCAAAGGGATACAACTGACTATAAACTGTTGCATTTCCTTTCTTCTTTAGCAAATAGTTTCCTTTCTCCTTCCCATACCAAACCTCGCTTGCTACGGAGCTAGTATCAAGCGGTTTCACATCTTTTCCAACCACAGCTTCACCTGAAGAAGAACATATATGAACAAAATCACACAATCATATAGGTGTAGCAAACACATAAAGGCCAAGAGAGAAATTCAAAGCCTAGATTTTTCATTATATACAAAAAGTCCAGAAATTTAACACTCATGTGATTCCCAAAACAAGTAATAAGTACCTCAAATAGGATTAGCAGACACCAAAAAGCCAAGAAACAAATGTAGAAATTGGAAATTCAAAAAATATATAACACAAGCTGATTCCTAAAATAAGTAACATTCATTTATCAATAAAATAATTGAATTGAAAAAAATTGGAGAAATCGGAATTACCAGTGACCCAAGAAACCCACATGGAGGTTGGAGTAGAAAGAGCTAAAGCGATTTGTTCTGGGAAATCGGAGGTGGCATTTCTCTTCCTCAGCTTTGGATGATCGATAGGCAAGTCGTCGCTGCCTCGGCGAAGAGATGAGTCGAATCGGCGGGTTAATGGCTTGAAGGGACCGTCTAAAGTCGTCGGGATTGTTTCGCCGGCGGCGAGAAGCAACGATATCGAGATGAATGTAATCATCATCATCAGTGAAGGAGTGGGGCTGATGAATGATGTTGCCGGAGGCATGATTGTAGGTCACGGTTTGTCGTCTCTTCCGGTTTTCACTTTCTCATGCGTGTAGAGTTTTTTTGGTGGTCTCGAGCATTGACTGATCACTGACGACAATGGCGAAAATTCGAATTCTTTCTCATTTTCTTTTTCTTTTTTTCTTTTTCTTTTTAGTCATGTGAATATTCCATTGATGCTCAGAGCTCTAAGTCGTGCGTGTCACCATTTTATTTGTAGCTGTGGTTACTGAAAATAAATTCAATTGAATTTTAAATAAAGGGATATAAAAAGAGAACCAATGGGTTCTCGACAAATAAAGCTTCGAAATTCAAAATGTGATATTCTTTTAACTAATACTCCCTCCATTTTTTTTTATAAATTTTCTAGATTTTCACAGGAAAAGCTATGATTTTTGCAATAAAACAATTTTCTATGATTTTCAACCAATAAAAATTTAACAAATACAATCATTGTTTCTTGAAAACTGAAAAAGTACTTCAAAAAGCTAAAAAATTATCTTTGTGAAACAACAAAAAATATACAGAAAATTCATCTAAAAAAACAATGGAGGGAGTATTTAAGAATTTGCACTGGGTATATAAGAATTTTTTTTTTCCAAAACAAATTTATCGAAGAGTGCTGTTTTAGAATTCATTTCTTTCTAACAAACCAATACAATTCCACATTGTTAGTGTAATTTCAAACAGGATTTTCATTACTATCATTTTATAAGTTAATGACTACATCAATGAAAACAACTTTTTAAGCAAAGAGAACAACAATATGATCGCATATTTCCATTGACGTTTTCGGATTCGAGCTATTATGATTCCACTTAACGAAGATAGACTGGTGGAAAATTGAATTGGAAGATTTGAATAATAAAAGACTGGGAGTATACTAATCTGATCAACATGGATACTCGATCGTATGATATTCGAGTATGGATGCAAACGTTTATTGGAATCTGACATTCTTTGTCAAAGTCGACTTTAAGAGTCTGACATTTTCTGTTATATCTATACTTACTCTATTCGACCAAGTTATTTTTAAGAAATTAGCAAGACAAAAATAGAAAGTTTATACAAAAATTAAGAGATGTGATAAAATGGCAAGGCTCCAAATGGTTATTATATCAATGCATGGTGCATATTAAAAACGAATGTACTGTCGTTTTTGGTTCGCTATGTTCCATATTAACGTAAACGGTAACCATTTAAAACCTAAATACGGAGTATGAGAAAACGACGGATGAAGATTGAAGGAGCATGAAGAGTATCCATGATTGGCTCCAGTGGGGTAGGAGAAAGGATGCAAGGGACATAAAAGTGTCTCCCTAAAAGGTTTACTGAAGAATTGTTTTTCACGTTTCCACTTTACCCTCGTTTTTTCATCTTTTCTAAAAGGCTTATTGAAGTTAACTTTTGTAAAATTTGTTGATTTTACAAGTTAAGATTTTAAAATATTTAATAGATTCATTCTAGAAAATATTTAGACTTTTTTATAAAGGAGATGCCTCTTACATGCATAGAACAGCATAGCAACCAATTATTTCATTTGTCTTGTTAATGATTATAAGTTTTTTGAGATAGAAATTCTTTCAATGTTGTTCTTTTTCGAGCGAGCAGAGGTGCTAACAATGTTTATGATGATGAATGTTATTCTTTTCGAGCGAGCAATGGAGATAACAATGTTTATGTTGTTGCCACTTATCATCATCAGCGTATTTATTGTATCTATGTATGTATTTTTTTATATAATATATATCTGCTGTTTTGTCTTTTTTTTTTTTTTTTTTTTTTTCAAGTTACATGTCTGTTAATTTGTTAAGAATTTTGATAGAACTGACTGTGGAATATATTCAATGTGGATGAAATGATTCTAAATGTCTAATAGTATAATGAACAAGATAAAGATGTGGAATAAAATAGCTAAGTATCGGTCGTTAATGAAAGATTTGGATGCCAGAAAAGCTACAAACATTATCAAAACAGCATAAAGTACATTAGTTCTCATTACCAAAACTATCTACAACTTCAAGTAGCTAGCTAGGCTTGGATGAGATCTAGCTTGAAACAAAAATAATTTACCATCCTGAATGGTTTATGACATTAGAGTATATGTTTAAAATTTTTACAAAAGAATAGTACTAATTCATTTTCTAGTTTCTGTTTTAAAGTTATAAAATGCATGCAAAAAAAAATTGATACCCAACCCAAAAACATATGCATATCATGATTCTAAATTTTTAATAATCAGTTTGATAATCTGAATATCAAATTTGATTGTGCAACCGCTAATTGTAGTTGTTTGGTTGGATTTGGCGTGGGGATAGCATTTCTCTTCTGCATGATGCCCACATTTACACGGTTAGTGATAATCAAGTAAAAGAAAACTTGAACTTAAGAGTAATTATACGTATACAGCTCAATCCTTGACTTATCCTTAATGTTTACTCAACGAAAAAGTTTTGTATTGATAGAGTTTGAGTATAGTATAATGTCTAATTATGATATTCGAAAGATGTTTTTATATATATTTGGTTGCAATCATGAGAACAACAAATACATATGATTACAATTAAAAGACACAACAATGTATATGTACCAACCTACGTCTCTAAATTATGGTATAGTAAGAAAGCCAAGTCACTGGCGAGCAGTGGACTGTTAAGGTGGCATATCTCAGTTATTTTTTTAAATCACCATATACATTTTTCATGGTTCATTTTAAAATTTAGAAATGTAATGTTTTGAAGGTGAAAATGGTGTCAACACTGACGGATTGGCCAACATTCTCAATACATCTAGAGAAAGTTTGACAAAGATATGTGTAGGTTTTTTTTTGTATCATCGATCCCACACACTACAAATTAATTCGAGACGCAAAGTCTAGCACGCACGCAATGTTTGTCTATTTATATCTATGTAAACTTTGTAATTCTAGTTTGGATTTGTAAGTCGTTTAAGTTAAATATTAAGCGATTGACAACAAAAAAAAGTATCGTAGTTATACACTTATACTTCGATGGATGCATAGATCCACAATCCACAACGTAGTTTTAACATTTGGCATAACCGCATAAACATACCATGCATTATGTGGCTAGTCAACTAATCAAGCGTAATTAGCTCCTGGGAGCCAAAAAAAAAAAAAAAAAAATGGGAACATGAAAGCAGAAAATTAGTTAGTTAATTAAGTGAGAGGAAATATTATCCTTTAAATCCGGCATAAAACCAGTGGTGATCCATTAAGCTTCCGTACGGCACACACTGCCTTTTGATGATGTGGCATTTTTAAGCTCCTTGATTCGTTAAAACCGTTAGTTAATTTCGTTAATCCCATTAACCAAATTACACATCTGCGTATCCTTTTTCGGTAAACACATCAACATCTCTTACTTTAGGATGTATATAATTAATTATATACTCTTTTTAGAATATTATATGTGAGATCTTTCATTTAACTTTTGTATGAAAAAAAAACATATTTTCAACATCTACAATGGAACAATTATCACTTTATGTATTTAATATTATAGACACAATTTCAGTGTACAAAATTCAAATTTGTAACAACACAACCCGTAGGGATTAGAGAACAAAGAAGTAAAAATGATACAGTAAACTAATAAGAAGTGAAGAACTTAAACCAAAAAAAAAAGAAGTGAAGAACCAACTTTCTACACAGTAAACTAAAAATTTGTAGGAGTACAAATATTTTTACTATTATAGTAATTGAAAAAAAAAGAAATTGAAAAGCTTTCGACTTTAATTTGGTACAGAATCTGACATTTAAAATTTTGTGGTTTTTTTCGTTTGAAGTGTAAGACATTTATTCATACTACATTACATCTTTAAGAGATCTTGAATATAATTCATTTGTTTCATTTGATTATCCGACCAGCATCATTGATTTCTCTGTACAAGTAAAATGTTTGTTTAACTTTCACATTTTTTTCCAAAAATAATTTATTACATGTTTTTTCATTCTTCTGGATCAAGATAGAAAATCATTCGATTTGGAAACCCAACCGAAGTTAGTGAGAGTAATAAATAACATTTGATGATGCAGAAAGATTTATATCAGTAATTTCTTCTTTACAGCGATATTTTAATATCATAAACACATGAGACATGGGGCGGTTACGGCAGTTGTGAGAGCTTGATTAAAGTTACGGCGTTAGAATTAGGGGATCAGATTAGACGGCAAACAAAAAAGAGTTTGATTACAGTTACGGCGTTAAAATTAGGGGATTAGATTAGACGGCAAACAAATAAGGTAAGAAACAGAGAAAGTGAAATTGCGAAATCATGAAAACTCTGAATTTAATTTTTACCTGACCTAAAGATAAGAGAGTAACAACTTTGACTGCCCGTTAAGTAGCGGCCGTTTACTAACGTCAACGTTAACGTTTCTTTTTTTGCGTATATATAACGAAGACGGTTTCCTTGGAGCTTGTGTCACTCGTCTCTGCTTCTTCTACATTCTCTCTCCTCTGCTTCCTTTTTTTTCCCGAGAAAAAGTGAGAGAAAATTTCGCAGAAGCTCTAGAAAGAAGAAAAGAAGCTCCAATGGCGTCGTCGTCTCAGAAATTGACCGCTTTTTGTTTAGCCGTTATCGTCGTCTTAGCTCTCACCGCAACCTTTTTCCGGAACATTGAAATCTCTCCCTCCAGGTTTCTCTCTTCCTCCTCGCATCTCTCTCTTTATTTTTCCTTCTCCGTCGTTTTAAAGTCTCCGTTTAAGCTGCATTGTCTAATTTCCGCGAAAGATTTTGACATTTTCCATCTCTGTTTCGGAATTTCTCTTTAACGATTTCTCTCTTTCATGGATTTGTGCCCTATTTTAAAGCTTCTGAGCTGATTTCTTCTAGTTAGTGATGAAGGAGTCCATTTTTGTGAGAGTTTTCGATTTATACTCCAGATTCCGTTATTAACTGCTCTGTTTTCGGTTTATGATTTTGCTAGGAAGCTGAAAACAGAGAAGTTGCAGAGCTCGAAAAACAGCTCAACAATGGCGGCGACAAGGTAACAAAACTCGATCCCAATTTTTTTTTCTCTTTTGCCACCGCTCTCAAAACATAAAACGCGCTTCTAACCGCTAGGTTTATCCTTCTTTTTCATTTTTGTTCAATAAAGTAAGAGAAAAAAAAAAGTGGAATATTAACTAAACAATCTCAGCCGTTGGATTCTGAAGGATCCTCGGATCCGTTAACCGTTTTCCTTTTTATTCATCGCCGCTCACACATGCTCTGTCTCTCTACTCTCTAGTGTTAGTAGTCTTTAATATTTTGAATCCTATATTCCACGTCAGTAAATAAAGGGTATATTAGTCAAATTCCGTTAAAACGTAGTTTCTTGCATTCTTTTCCCCTGCGCTTACTCTCGCGTGTATAGGAATCGCTTTTTTACTTGCTTTAAGATGTGGCCACGTGTTAAAAAGCGATGTGATTCTCTTAAATCTGTTGGTTCAAAAATTTTAATTTTGTTTTTTTTGTAATTTTAAATTAAGTTTATGGTTGGTCGCGTCATTTGTGGCTTTTTCTGCAGGCTTGAAGGTGTGGAGTTGAAGGAAGAACATGAACACGCCGTTAATGATCCAGATAAAGTTGCTGATGAAGTCGCTAAGCTTGTTCATATGTGCGTTTCTTCTCTCTCTCTCTCTCTCTCTCTCCCTCTTTCTCTTTTGTGTGATTGCATTAATTTTTATTTCCTCGGGAATTTGCTTTGAATAAAGCATTTCTCATTTCTGACAATTTCATTTTAGATAGTCCCACACACATGAACGTTAAAGTAATCAATTAAGAGAGATCAGAAGCAAGATTTTTGTTTTTTTTATATATAAAAATATTTAGTTTGATTTTCATTGGGTAAGAGAAAACTTTTGCTTTTATATTTGTCTGTCACATTTCTGTCTCTCTGCTTCTTTAATTTTCGTCGTGAAGCTACAACACCACCTAACCTAAATAGGATAGGTACAGAGACATGAAACCATCCCTCGTCGCATAATACTGACACATTGTCGTTTCACCACGCTCTTGCGATTGTCAGACTCGCACGGGCATTGCTTTGTTTTTTTTGTAACTTTTTTTGTTTTGGTAATTCTAACGGCGTCTTCTTCATTTAGTTTTATTTCTCTGTAACTGGATTTAGGAATAAGGTTGGTTCCATAACTGCTTCCACCGTCTTTTTGTGGCATTTAGGTTTTTAAAGTCTCTATCATCTTTGGATTTCACGGTCTGGTCTATTTTAGTTTCTTCACCAGCTCATCATTAATGGCAAAAATATTTCGGTTTTACTCTGCAACCACTTTATTGACTTCATTTACCAACAAAAGAAAGACGATCTTTTAACTTATTACGTTAGGTAAGAACAAACAGAAACGGCGGCTGAGATGTTTAATCAGCCTGTAGATTCTGGTAAAAAGAGTAAAAAAAGTGATCTCTTTCTTGAATTTGATGTGTGTTTGTGTGATTAATCTATATAAATTTCATTTTTCAGGAGTGAACAGAACAGGACAGAAAGGAGGAAGCTTGGATTTTTCTCATGTGGAACTGGTAATCCAATCGATGACTGTTGGCGTTGTGACCGTAACTGGCATAAGAACCGTAAACGCCTCGCGGATTGTGGGATTGGTTTTGGACGGAACGCGATTGGAGGTCGTGATGGACGCTTCTACGTCGTCACTGACCCGACTGATGAAGACGTTGTTAATCCCAAACCCGGAACTTTACGCCATGCGGTTATCCAGGAAGAGCCTCTGTGGATTGTGTTCAAAAGGGATATGGTGATAGAGCTGAAGCAAGAGCTGATCATGAACAGTTTCAAGACCATTGATGGCCGTGGTGTTAATGTCCATATAGCTAATGGTGCTTGCATCACTATCCAGTTTATCACCAATGTCATCATTCATGGTCTTCACATTCATGATTGCAAGCCTACTGGTAACGCAATGGTTAGAAGCTCTCCGTCTCATTTTGGTTGGAGGACAATGGCTGATGGCGATGCTGTCTCTATCTTTGGATCATCTCATATATGGATTGATCACAACTCTCTCTCTCACTGTGCTGATGGACTTGTTGATGCTGTCATGGGTTCCACTGCTATTACCGTTTCCAATAACCACTTTACCCACCACAATGAGGTCTCATTATTTTTACTCTGCCTCCTTTTAAAAGAATACCCTTTCATATCGTCTATGTTGTTCATAAAGGCTGAATCTTTTTTCATGACACTGTATGTATGCACAGGTGATGTTGCTAGGGCACAGTGACTCGTACACAAAAGACAAGCTGATGCAAGTGACCATTGCTTACAACCATTTTGGAGTAGGACTGGTTCAGAGAATGCCAAGGTAACTAGTCCACTATTTGTTTTCAACCTCTTAGACTTAAGTTGCCACTTGTTCGATTGTTCTGAAAGTAGATATATTGGTTGTGTGATTGCAGATGCAGACATGGGTACTTCCATGTGGTTAACAATGACTACACACACTGGGAGATGTACGCCATTGGTGGAAGCGCAGAGCCAACCATCAACAGTCAAGGAAACAGATATGCTGCTCCTATGGACCGTTTCGCCAAGGAGGTTCAATTTCTTTAACCTTTGTTTTACTTGAATCAGAGTTAAAAGGTGTAGTTCTCTTATAGCAGATTTTAAATTGTGGACTAACAGGTGACGAAAAGGGTAGAGACGGATGCAAGTGAGTGGAAGAAGTGGAATTGGAGGTCAGAAGGAGATCTTCTACTGAATGGAGCATTCTTCAAGGCATCCGGAGCAGAAGCTTCAGCTAGCTACGGACGAGCCTCAAGCTTAGCAGCTAAACCATCATCAATGGTTGACTCTATTACCTCTACTGCAGGAGCACTGGGTTGCCGCAGAGGCAGACCTTGCTAGCTATCTCTCTCTATACCTCTATAGTAACTAACCCTTTCCTCATATCTTCGGAAAGTGCATATTATAGGAGTACTCTTCCTTCTTCTCGGTTCTTTTTTTTTGGGTCGGGTCAGGTCATTTCCCACTTTGTTTTCTGCCGGGTGGTAGGAATTGGTCAACCTCGGCTTGCTTCTTCTTCTTTGGGAATTACACAGAGGAGCAAGCACAGAAGCGTTGTTCAAAAGGTTTCCTTCTTTTTAGTCTACGAGTCTCTTATGGTTTTTAGTTTTGGAGTTGTTAAGGTCCTTTGGTTTTAATGGATCTCACTCCCTTGCGTTTTAGAGTCTTTATGGGTTCTTGCAAGTTAGTGATAGTAGTAGAAGCACAGATATTGTTACCAAGACGATTGAGAAAAGCTTTTGATTTGATTGCAATTGTACGTTTGTCTTTATGTTTTGTTTGCTTCTTGTTGCTCTGCCGTGTTTCAATGGGATATGATGATGATTTTTAATGCAACCTAAAACAAACCACTTGTGAAACGTGAAAGATAAGAATGAATCTACAAAATAGTTGAGAGTGAGTAAATGAAAAGGGTTTACACTAACATGTAATGTGATGCCAAACCCATAAACAGTTGAATCAGATCTTTCTTTCTTCTTTTAGATTTGTGAGGTTTTAGTGGTTCTGATTCCTTACGCTGCACGTTACGTGTTAAACTTTCTTTATTCTTTTTCGAATCTCGTAAGCTTTTTCATGAGATCATATGAGATTTACCAACTTGTTCTTCTCTCTTAAATACATTGTGTGATCACAAACGGCAATTCATGTGAAGCATTATATCATCATATAGGTCTCACCGTCAGGGAGTAATTAATGAGCAACATGAACCATACTACCAAACGATGCCTTCTACTTTCTACTTGTATTCGAGAACAAAGGAAAAAATAAATTGATATCCCCAAAGGAGCTTAGAACAAGAATCTGGTGAGAGTGACTCAAATCTTCAAAAGCTGAAGATAATGATGACTGGCTTCTCTTTAAATCGTATCATTCATCAACTGTTGTCTGGAACACATAGCCAGCCTCCTTGAAGTGAGATTTCACCATTGCTAAAGACTTGTACCTATGAGATATCTTGTTCTTTTCTTCCTTTGCCATCTCTGCATAACTACAACCAACATAACGAATCACCAAAGGGTTACTCAGTTTTTCCTTTTACCATGACAATATATCCGAGGTTCAAATACATTATGCATTCTGGGAGAAAAGAGAGGCATACGTTTGGTCATATCCATCAGGTTGAAACACTGGATCCCACCCAAAATCGGTTGGTCCTCTTGCTGGTACTATCTTACCCTAACACATCAATCCACAAAGTTCAAGCAATCGAACTCTGACAAAAACGACTAGCAGAAGGAGCAGAGAGTTTGATATAAGAGCGGTGACGATGTTGAACATACCGGAGTTTTCCCCAAAAACGTAAGAGGTTCAGCACCTGGACCATGCGAGAAAGAGAATGCGCACAATGCATAAGCTGATTTATCTTCATAGGCCATCAGTAAGTTGTTCAGACCTAGACATGAGTCAGACCAAGATTAGGTGTTATTAGTGTAAGAGATTGAAAACAAATGCTAAGGTAATAAAAGGAAAGAAAAACAATTGACTATCACAACCTTCATGACCAAGCTTCTCAAGAAACCACTTGCTGCAAAGAAAAAACAGGAAATAAATTCAAAAGTGCTACAAAGAAGAATCTACACATAACTCCAATACAGTTAATCTCACGCTGGTTAAATCCCAGCAATTATATTTTCATAGTCCTAATTTCTAATTTCCAGTTCGGTAGCCAATAGAAAGTGAAGAAAATAGAGGTCTCTTCTACATTTCAGTCCAGCAATGAATTACGACATCCAGAATGAGAACATTCAATTAGATAACTCCATTTAACTACTCACACACTACTTGCCTAGAAGAACTAAAAGAACAGGAGTTGATCATTGAAATAGAGTTTCCCATTCAAGAAAGATCCATAGATGAAAGATTAAAGAACATATATAGATGTAACTTCATCACCTTACCTATCTATGTCTGTGATCCATTTACCTAATCAACTCACAGCTTATTGCACATCACGACAAAGTAGAATTGGAGAAACTATATCCTTCTAATGATTGACCAACAAAGACTTAAAAGCACAAATATCAAAAGAGGAGGGAAGAAACAAAACTTACATGTATGGCCCTGCAAAATCCAACAAAAAACAAAATCAGACAGTGTCACCATTTGGCTACTTAGTCACAGAGTAAACGAAAAAACTTAGAATCCAAAGGAAACCATACCAGGAAGACCCTTCAAAGCATTGAAACAGAGGCATGTATCCTCCACTAGCACTGGCCCATTCACCTTCTCATTCACCATCAAACACATTTCATGTCAGTTCTCACTCACCATCCTTAGTCACTAACTAATACACATTCAGCAGCACAAGGAAGGAAAAATGCAACAGTACCTGAAGAGCAGCCAAACGAGTAAATGTAGTCAATTTAAGTAAATGTATCTGAGTACTCAAACCAAATGTAGAAAAGGGTTAAAGCTTGTGCACCTGAAGAGCAGCCAAACGAGCTTTTTCTTTGGAGATATCCTCAGGCTCACCTTGCAGCTCAGGCACTACAAGTCAAGAAATACTTAAAATTGAAACAATGAGCCTGATGAAAAGGAGAAAGAAAACAGGAATCGAGAGAGAAATCGAAAGTGGGTACTAGTGTTACGCACGGTCGAGTTTGAGAGACTTGAAAGGAATGGAATTTCCGATGATAGCTTTGACCTCTTCGAGCTTCTTGGCATTTCCGGTCACAAACGTCACCGGCCGTGGTAAAATCACCGCTGCTTTCGCCCCCGCCATTTCGTGTTCTCAGATATACTAAAGTCACGCTTTTTTTGCTTTTCTTCAACAGGTTATCTAATTTTCTTCTCGACAAACAATTGGGCCCAAGTCTACTTTTATCTAGGCCCAATCCAACTTATCTGTTTTCAAAAGAAACTATTTTCAAATTATTATTACTTTGACATTTATTTCGATCGCATAAATTCAAATATAAATTTATAAATCTAAATTTTCTTTTTCAGATACATTCATCAATTTACGGTTGTGAAAAAAAAATAACCAAAATAATTTGAGCATATTTTTTTTCTCTTAGATCTCAATATTTGTAGGATGATTTTACTGATGGATAACAATCAAAACTAACCACATCTATAATAAAAAAAATCTAAGACGTAAGTTTATTAAAAATGACAAAGAGGAGTTGATTCCTACTAGGACCATCACTGGACATAAGATGTGTATTGATTATAGGAAGTTAAATGATGCATCTAGTAGAAAAGATCACTTCCCTTTGACTTTTATTGATCAGATGCTTGAGAAGCTTGCAAATCATCTATTTTACTGCTTTCTTGACGGTTATGGTGGTTTCTTTCAGATTATTATTCATCCCAATGATTATGAAAAGACCACTTTTACATGTCCTTATGGTACATTCGCTTATCGAAGGATGCCATTTGGACTATGTAATGCCACTGCTACTCTTCAACGATGCATGACTTCCATCTTTTCGGATTTGATTGAGGAAATGGTCGAGGTGTTTATGGATGATTTCTCTGTGTATGACTCTTCATTTTCCTCTTTTTTGTTCAATTTTGCATGGTTGGTGTGAAGAAACAAACCTAATACTTAACTGGGAGAAATGTCATTTTATGGTTTAAAAAGATATTGTTTTGGGTCACAAGATATCTGGGAAGGGAAGTGAGCTTGATCGAGCTAAAGTTAACCATATGTCTTGTTCAACAACAAATAAACATGTTTCACCATTGACCGTATGTACCTAATTACGATTCTATGATAAACAAAATGCTCATGCTACATAAAATAAAATCACAAGGTTAATCTCATGCTAAATTGATACATGAATTTTTGGATTAATTGATCAAAATCCTACTCATGTCATACATGACTATCATTTAAAGTTTTTTGTGTTTTTTAAGTGCAAAAAAATTATACATATTTGATATCTAGAATTGCATGATATAGATGAATACTACACAAATGCAAATACTCTATCGATTGAGTTTTTTTTCTTGCTTTGATGGATTTTATTTATATTTCATGCTAAAGTAACCAATATTATGATGATTGTGTTGTTACAATAACATTGATTGAGTGATGTGTGATGAATTCTTAGATTTTGCAAGAAATTCGAATTCCTATGTATTTTGATTGTGTTTTTTGCTTTGAACTCAGTAATTGGTGATAAAATGAAGTATGAGGATATTTTGAGTTTGTAATTTTATATTCAAAACAAACTCAACAAGACAATTTAATTCATATGCCCAATTGTTTTTGCAAATTTTCCTTTCATTTTTAAAGCCTAATATTTCTTAAATATTATTAAAAAGCCTATCACATGGTCCAAATTCCCTCTGAACCGGGCCTAAGCATGTTGATGTTATGAGAAATAGCTTTGGATTTCAGGTACCAGACACAAATTGATTTGGTTATGCAGCTTATACTTATGATTTTGAAAGACTATGTTGATACTTGAATTAGATACATATTTTTTATTTTTGTTTGTTTATCAAATTGTAGATCGATAGCTGATTCCACTCGCTTTTGAAAGAAAGTTTGATATATGAATTAGATTATCTTTTTGAGTTTGTTTTGAATATAAAATTATAAATGAGAACTGTAGGATTATTAGAATGATAAACTTGTTATAATGAGAAGAGAGAACAAAAGAAGAGATGAATTGGTTGTGTGTTATTCCATTAGTAATGAGCTCCTTATATAGGATTACAATATAGGGTTTTCCTTGGAGAGGAATACATTGGAGAACAAGCTAGAACATTCTAGAATATGGGCCGATAATGGGCTTCCATATAAACTAGTTATAACACTCCCCCTTGGAAGTCCATTATCTAAAAATATCTTCTAAGTGCGCATGTGCTGCCTCGTTAAAACCTTACCAGGAAAACCCAAAGGGAAAAACCTTAGTTAAGGAAAAAGAGTACAGCGCGCAACTACTCCCCCTCATGAGAACATCCGTGTAGATTAGGTGAATGAACTTCTTGATAATAGCAGATGGAAACTCCTTTAAAATCTTCACTTGAACAGTCTTTAGAACATTGACATCGCCATTCTTCTTGGTTGCATGGATCAAGATGATTCATCTTGATCAATCTCCTTGCTTCACTTGATCTCATAAATAGATGACAAGACTTCTTTAGATGTTTCTCATTTGTGTGTTCTTTGTTGCCTCATTAAAACCTTTCATGGAAAAACCCAATGGGATAAAAACCATGATAAGGAAAAAGAGTACAACCACACATATCATCATATTCTCCCCCTTGGAAGCATATTCTTCAGGAGATGCATTCCAATACTATCTTTTGGAGATTACTATAAGTATAACTTTGATGAAAGTCATTTAGACTTTTAGTCTAGACATCTTTTTCTATAAACAATCATTTGGACTTCTGGCCAAATTTTCTCTTTTATATACATTCTTGTAAACATCTATCTTGTATATATAATCTCATCTCATTTTGCTCATTTTCAATTATGAAAGAGACTAACATATTTTTCAAATAGCATTTGAAGTATGGTACTTCAGGACCAAATATATGTGAGCATTGCTTATGTAAATCATGCCATAACATTTCTGGGAATTTGGGATATCTTAAGACAACTTTGTCTTTCCAAGATCTTTTATCCCATCTCTTTTGTGATACTAATTTCGAAAATTCTTCTGGAATTTCGATGTTTAGTTTCATGATCTCTTTTGATCTATAAATATACTTTGTTAAATATACATATTCACTTTCGTGATTATATCCATGAATCAATTTCTTTTCATTTGATTGAATAGCTAATATTCTCCGGGAACATAACGATTATATCATTAATTCTTCAATGATTATATCCTTCAGGGACTTTTACATAAATGTCATTGTTTAGTGAGTTGTATAAGTCAAGTTCTTCTTTCATTGCCAGACTTAATGAACTTGAAAGTTGCATCCACCACATGAGAGTATATCTCTTCATACTCATTTTCTTCGGCACAAATGCCTTTATAACTCACTTGTTTCACACTTTTTAGGTGAAAGGACTTCTGGTCCAAATACTCTTTCTCTTTCTAAGAGTTTTGTGTCTATTGCTTCTTTTGATTTGGCCAAATCATTACTTTGTGTACACAATGCAATAGACTTTGTTTCATGATCCTCTTTCTCATTCATAATATCAACTGCTACATTGCATGCAAATATATTATTTACGACGTCGATTTGCTTCTGGTTCCATTTTATTATATACATGACATAAGTAATTTCTCGAGATCTCATCATTGTCTCAGGTACCTGAATTTCTTATTTGTCATGTTTAATGTCTCTTCTGGAGATCACTCAAAAATATTTGTTTCCTCGGTTTGACCATTGTCAATTTATGCTCTTTTACTTTTTCGAGGATTCTAATATTTGGAACCGACAAGTCTATCACGCTTCATGCGTTCTTTAGACTCACTAGCAGCTTGATATTGTCCTTCTGGGACATCAATTCTTATTAGAGCATTTACAGCTGGTAAGTGACTCAATCACTATATTTGGGTCAGTAAATGTATCTGGCAACTGATACAATAAGTTTTGTGAATGAACTATCTTTTGGACTTCTATTTCACATTCTATAGTCCGAGGATCAATGATAATTCATTCAAACTACTTTTCTTTCCAGCCTTTTTTTCTCCCCCTGATGTTGGAAAGACTTATCCATTAACATGGTAGTCTATAAATGAGCCTTACTTAAATCCTTCAGGGATAGCTCTAGATATTATCAATGGAGATTCATATCCAACATCTACAATCTCTTTTGAAGATCCATCTTATATTGCTGTGGTGGAGCAATGTGGATGTTGCACATCCAAAGGTTTCTGACCCAAAACTAATTTTGATGGGGAGAACTTTTAGTTACTTGTTGGCTTTATGCGAGTTAATGCTTGTGCATTATGTCCAATGATGAACATTTTCTATTGAATGTTCAACATTTATTCTTACAAACATGTTTTTCTTTCACCATAGACTTAAGATGTGATTTCACTAGCATTACTAAGTCATCTTGCAAACTTCAGGTTGCAAATTTATTTCATTGATACATACAACTATTTTGTTGATGCATTACAAAACACAATGAAATTTCTTACAGAGGATGACTAGTCCACAAAATGGGTTATTAAACCACACGTTTCTTGTATATTCTCTAGAAAATGAATTGAATCAAAATCTATTTTGGCTAGTGATAATTGTTGTATTATCATAATCTCTTATGATAAAATATCACATTAGAAATCATTAAGAAGAATCTTCTAGTTCTTCAATAAATGTTACATGTTGTATTTTACTTCGCATAATTCTTAACTGGAATGGTCTAACCAGTTCATGCCAATTATGTTAGATTCAGCAAACTTCTGGTTTACTATATGACATCTATTTAACTTTTCCTCATTTATTGTATATTGAAATTCCTTGGAATTACTTTATATATGATTCATCAAGATTACTCATTTTTAGTATAATCTTCTGGATTATGAGTTTGGGATTCTTACACTTTTCTTGATCAATGATCAAGTTTATCTTGAGTGTGAACATAATCTTCTAGATGTTCCATTTATTATTGATTGTGGGATTCATCCATTCTCCCCCTCGAGATGATGATACTTCAGGTTCATCTATCTCGAATTGAATTCCAATATAAAATCAATAACCTCTTTAACCATTTACTTGTATATCACATTCACTTCAGGGAATTGATCATAACCAATTGGATATGATTTTCATCAATAATTCAATATTTTCTCAAAA